TCAACGTTCAACACCATAGTGCCCTCAAAGCTCATCACTAAGCTAAGGACTCTGGGACTAAACACCTCCCTCTGCAACTGGATCCTGGAATTCCTGACGGGCCGCCCCCAGGTGGTAAGGGTAGATAACAACACATCTGCCACGCTGATCCTCAACACAGGGGCCCCTCAGGGGTGCGTGCTTAGTCCCCTCCTGTACTCCCTGTTCACCCATGACTGCATGGCCAGGCACGACTCCAACACCATCATTAAGTTTGCCGACGACACAACAGTGGTTGGCGACAGTGATGAGACAGCCTATAGGGAGGAGGTCAGAGACCTGGCCGGGTGGTGACAGGACAACAACCTCTCCCTCAACGTGCTCAAGACAAAGGAGAAGATTGTGGACTACAGGAGATTGTGGACCCCCATTCTCATCGACAGGGCTGTAGTGGAACAGGTTGTGAGCTTCAAGTTCATTGGTGTCCACATCACCAACAAACTATCTTGGTCCAAACACACAAAGACAGTCGTAAAGAGGGCACGACAAAGCCTATTCCCCCTCAGGAGACTGAAAAGATTTGGCAAGGGTCCTCAGATCCTCAAAAAGTTATACAGCTGCACCATCGAGAGCATCCTGACTGGTTGCATCACTGCCTGGTATGGCAACTGCTTGGCCTCCGACCGCAAGGCACTACAGAGGGTAGTGCGTACGGCCCAGTACATCACCAGGACCAAGCTTCCTGCCATCCATGACCTCTATACCAGGCGGTGTCAGAGGAAGGCCCTAAAAATGATCAAAGACTCCAGCCACCGTAGTCATAGACTGTTCTCTCTGCTACCGCACGGCAAGTGGTACCGAAGCGCCAAGTCTAGGTCCAAAAGGCTTCTTAACAGCTTCTACCCCCAAGCCATAAGACTCCTGAACAGCTAATCATGGCTACCCGGACTACCTATCTTTTTTTGCTGAGTTTACATATTTGTTGTGGCATATACAGTGGGGAAAAAAAGTATCTAGTCAGCCACCAATTGTGCAAGTTCTCCCACTTAAAAATATGAGAGAGGCCTGTAATTTTCATCATAGGTACACGTCAACTATGACAGACAACATGAGGAAAAAAAATCCAGAAAATCACATTGTAGGATTTTTAATGAATTTATTTGCAAATTATGGTGGAAAATAAGTATTTGGTCAAAAACTAAAGTTTCTCAATACTTTGTTATATACCCTTTGTTGGCAATGACACAGGTCAAATGTTTTCTGTAAGTCTTCACAAGGTTTTCACACACTGTTACTGGTATTTTGGCCCATTCCTCCATGCAGATCTCCTCTAGAGCAGTGATGTTTTGAGGCTGTCGCTGGGCAACACAGACTTTCAACTCCCTCCAAAGATTTTCTATGGGGTTGAGATCTGGAGATTGGCTAGGCCACTCCAGGACCTTGAAATGCTTCTTACGAAGCCACTCCTTCATTGCCCGGGCGGTGTGTTTGGGATCATTGTAATGCTGAAAGACCCAGCCACGTTTCATCTTCAATGCCCTTGCTGATGGAAGGAGGTTTTCACTCAAAATCTCACGATACATGGCCCCATTCATTCTTTCCTTTACACGGATCAGTCGTCCTAGTCCCTTTGCAGAAAAACAGCCCCAAAGCATGATGTTTCCACCCCCATGCTTCACAGTAGGTATGGTGTTCTTTGGATGCAACTCAGCATTCTTTGTCCTCCAAACACGACGAGTTGAGTTTTTACCAAAAAAGTTCTATTTTGGTTTCATCTGACCATATGACATTCTCCTAATCCTCTTCTGGATCATCCAAATGCACTCTAGCAAACTTCAGATGGGCCTGGACATGTACTGGCTTAAGCAGGGGGACACGTCTAGCACTGCAGGATTTGAGTCCCTGGCGGCGTAGTGCGTTACTGATGGTAGGCTTTGTTACTTTGGTCCCAGCTCTCTGCAGGTCATTCACTAGGTCCCCCTGTGTGGTTCTGGGATTTTTGCTCACCGTTCTTGTGATCATTTTGACCCCACGGGGTGAGATCTTGCGTGGAGCCCCAGATCGAGGGAGATTATCAGTGGTCTTGTATGTCTTCCATTTCCTAATAATTGCTCCCACAGTTGATTTCTTCAAACCAAGCTGCTTACCTATTGCAGATTCAGTCTTCCCAGCCTGGTGCAGGTCTACAATTTTGTTTCTGGTGTCCTTTGACAGCTCTTTGGTCTTGGCCATAGTGGAGTTTGGAGTGTGACTGTTTGAGGTTGTGGACAGGTGTCTTTTATGCTGATAACAAGTTCAAACAGGTGCCATTAATACAGGTAACGAGTGGAGGACAGAGGAGCCTCTTAAAGAAGAAGTTACAGGTCTGTGAGAGCCATAAATCTTGCTTGTTTGTAGGTGACCAAATACTTTTTTTCCACCATAATTTGCAAATAAATTCATTAAAAATCCTACAATGTGATTTTCTGGATTTTTTTTCTCAATTTGTCTGTCATAGTTGACGTGTACCTATGATGAAAATTACAGGCCTCTCTCATCTTTTTAAGTGGGAGAACTTGCACAATTGGTGGCTGACTAAATACTTTTTTTCCCCACTGTACAGTGCATTCGGAAAGTATTCAGACCCCTTGACTTCCACATTCTGTTACGTTACAGTCTTATTCTAAAATTGATTAAATTGTTTCCCCCCCCCTCATCAATCTACACATAATGACAAAGGACAAACAGGTTTTTAAACATTTTTGCAAATGTGTTAAAAATAAAAAACGGAAATATCATATTTACATACGTTTTCAGACCCTTCACTCAGTACTTTATTGAAGCCCATTTGGCAACGATTACAGCCCCAAATCTACTTGGGTATGATGCTACAAGCTTGACACACCTGGATTGTAAGCTCCTGAGTGGCGCAGTGGTCGAAGGCACTGCATCGCAGTGCTAACTGTGCCACTAGAGATCCTGGTTCGAATCCAGGCTCTGTCGCAGCCGGCCGCGACCGGGAGACTCATGGGCGCCGCACAATTGGCCCAGCGTCGTCCAGGGTAGGGGAGGGAATGGCCGGCAGGGATGTAGCTCAGTTGATAGAGCATGGCGTTTGCAACGCCAGGGTTGTGGGTTCGTTTCCCACGGGGGGCCAGTAAAAAATAAATAAAAAATGTATTCACTAACTGTAAGTCGCTCTGGATAAGAGCGTCTGCTAAATGACTAAAATGTAAATGTAATGTAAATATTTGGGGAGTTTCTCCCATTCTTCTCTGCAGATCCTCTCAAGCTCTGGCAGGTTGGATGGGGAGCGTCGATGCACAGCTATTTTCAGGTCTCTCCAGAGATGTTTGATCGGGTTTAAGTCCATGCTCTGGCTGGGCCACTCAAGGACATTCAGAGACTTCTCCCAAAGGTACTCCTGCGTTGTCTTGGCTGTGTGCTGACTAGTCTCCCAGTCCCTGCCGCTGAAAAACATCCCCACAGCATGATGCTGCCACCACCATGCTTCACCGTAGGGATGGTGCCAGGTTTCCTCCAGACGTGATGCTTGGCATTCAGGCCAAAGAGTTCAATCTTGTTTTCATCAGACCAGAGAATCTTGTTTCTCATCGTCAGAGTCCTTTAGGTGCCTTTTGGAAAACTCCAAGCAGGCTGTCGTGTGCCTTTTACTTAGGAGTGGCTTCCGTCTGGCCACTCTACCATAAAGGCCTGATTAATGGAGTGCTGCAGAGATGGTTGTCCTTCTGGAAGGTTCTCCCATCTACACAGAGGAACTCTGGCACTCTGTCAGAGTGACCATTGGGTTCTTGGTTACCTCCCTAACCAAGGCCCTTCTCCCCCGATTGCTCAGTTTGGCCGGGCGGCCAGCTTTAGGAAGAGTCTTGGCGGTTCCAAACTTCTTTAAGAATGATGGAGGCCACTGTGTTCTTGGGGACCTTCAATGCTGCAGACATTTTTTGGTACCCTTCCCCAGATCTGTGCCTCAACACAATTCTGTCTTAGAGCTCTATGGACAATACCTTTGACCTCATGGCTTGGTTTTTGCTCTGACATGCACTGTCAACTGTGGGACCTTCTATAGACAGGTGTGTGCCTTTCCAAATAATGTCCAATCCATTGAATTTACCACAGGTGGACTCCAATCAAGTTGTAGAAACATCTCAAGGATGATCAATGGAAAAAGGATGCACATGAGCTCAATTTCGAGTCTCATAGCAAAGGGTCTGAATAGTTATGTAAAACATTTATAAAAACCTGTTTTCACTTTGTCATGTGGGGTATTGTCTTGTGGGGTATTGTGTGTAGATTGATGAGGATAAAACAAATATTTAATCAATTTTAGAACAAGGCTGTAACATAACAAATTGTGGAAAAAGTCTGAATACTTTACGAATGCACTGTATGATATGGTCCTCTGTAGCTCAATTGGTAGAGCATGGCGCTTGTAACGCCAGGGTAGTGGGTTCGGTCCCCGGGACTACCCATACGTAAACATGTATGCGCACATGACTGTAAGTCGCTTTGGATAAAAGCGTCTGCCAAATGGCATGTTATTATTATTATGATATGACAGAGATTTGTTCAACTTAGTCTTAATGTAGGCAAATCCAAAACAAGTAGGCGCCAAATGTTTCCTGATGCAACTTTGCTATTACTTCTTTGTCGCCGACAGTGCAGTACAGTAGTTGCATTGTAAAGCACAGAACGTTGAAAAAGCCAATTTCGCGGGACAGTGTGATTCTGCCACGCTTACATTGTCTTTTTGCCGCGAAACTGGGGAGAGGGCGGGACTCGGGCTGTTCCATTCTGGATCCGGGGGTGAAGGAGAGAGACTCGGAGTTGAAAAATAATTGTAATGATAATACAAATCAATCGGATAACTACTTCTACATACAATAAAAGTATTATGGGCTCACAAAACCAAGTCATCAAGCCTGAAAACCTATTTGATTTAAATTAAAAACTGGACTGCACCCCTGCCTTTTGAGCCAAGTACATGAACTCGTGTAAAAAAATGTTTTAACCATTCATTCTTTGTTGAGTGAACTGCATGTGACAATTCGTCTCTCAAACGAGTTAAAATGCAGTTATCATCAAAGGTAAGTGAGGTTTAACAGTTGCAGCTTTTATATCGCTACCCGGTACAGCCAGAAGAGGACTGGCCACCCGTCAGAGCCTGGTTCCTCTAGGTTTCTTCTTAGGTTCCTGCCTTTCTAAGGAGTTTTTCCTAGCCACTGTGCATCTGCATTGTTTGGGGTTTTAGGCTGGGTATCTGTAGCCTACAGCACAGTCCAGGGTCCTAATAAGGCCCTTTGGCTTTGCTCCACTGAAGGAAAAGGCTAGCTAAGTCAAGTCATAAAATGTCCAGTTCCTAATTTTATAAATTAAATGTAATATCGACAGCCTATCATATAAATCAGTGCTACAGTATTTGAATAGGAGAAATGTAATAGGAATGCATTTGGTCTGTTTACATTTTTGTTAGTGGCCAACTCTTTGACTCACACTACTGAGCCGAGCTGTTCTGTACTGGCCTGGTTACACCTCCACCACAGACTACTTTCTGGAAAGGACAGTGTGAAAAGGGTATTATATATTAGTGTAGCTTTAACACAGATGAGTAGGGGAAACTATAGGAAAACAGCCAGAGTTAGTTATACAAGTATCTTTGGCTTTAATCTGTTGTTGTCCCTCCTTCAGACCCCCAGGGCCCTGGCGGCCATCTTTGAGAGTCCCAGTGATGACGAGGACTTCCTGGGTTTTGCCATGTCACTGCCTAGTGACAGTGAATCAGACGACGGCAGGGACAGCCTTGCCTCTGAGGACTCTGGGAAGCCGGTGAGTAGCTGCCAACCTTTACCACACACACAGACGCCCGGTGAGTTGGTAAGTCTGTTCAGCCATTCAGACAGTGAAGGGGATGAGTTTGAGGGCTTTGGTGAGGCAGAGAGGGTTCAGAAGCAAGATGAAGGCTATGGTATTGAGACCTAACTCTCTTTTCTCTTGGCCCAGCTTTTCTCCTGTTCTCTCCAGTGGTATGTGTGTATGGGGATGCTTGGTTGTACCATGACTCTTCTTCTCTCCTGTTTTCGGTCGCTCCAGTGCGTAGCGGAGGAGAGTGATGAGGACACAGGTTTCTACTCCGAGGGGGAGGAGCCAGACACACACAAAAGGAGGAGTCTCTGTGTTGCCTTTAGGTGAGTGTACGAGTGTTCAACTGTGTGTGTGTCTCTCTCTCTCAAATGGCACCCTATTCACTATATGATCCACTGCTTTTGAATACCGTCATATGGTTATTTTTAAATTAAAGTAATAATTCTCTCTGCTTCAGATTTCCCACCAAAAGACTCTCTGCCCAGAAAGGGGAGGCACCAAAGAAACCCCAGCCAATCACTACCGCCCCTCCGGAGAGGAGAACCAATGAAAGGCTGCATCTGAAAAGGGGTGTGTCTCAGGTGTCCAGTGGGATGGTGACACGGGGTCAGAAACAACCTCTAAAAAAAGAGGTAGAGGAGGAGAAAGAAGAGAAGGAGGTTGAGTCTCCAGTTCTAAATAAACGAGCCAAGAACATCCAGGAGAACAAGGCCATGGTACATGATCTCTAACCACTGACCAAGGTCGTGTTCCGTAGGCAGTTACACTACTGAACACAACCCTGCTGTCTACTTTCCCTGTACCACCTTCTTCCACTGCTCTGATTTCTCTCTTATTATTGTGTATATTAGAAGGGTTTTCTCATCCTGTGTTGTTATTGTTGTCCTTCAGTTGGCCAAGCTGTTTGCTGACCTGACCAATATGGCTGAACTCACCCCCTCTACCACGGTGAGTTAGTACATTACACACTGGACTGGGCTAATGGAATTGGTTCATATTGTGCATGTTTCAGATTAACTTACTACATTGTAGTTGGACTGGCGGAATCTGTAAATCACCTTGCATCCCAAAGATAAGTGGCACTGCACCTCATCTTGTTCAAACTGATCCCCTGAAACACGCAGACTTTCTCAGGTGACTCATGACTTCTGGGTGTTGTAGTTCTGACTGGTGCATTGTGGGTGTTGTTGTGTTCCAGAAGAAGAGGCGTGTGAGTGAGAAGCCAACCCCTCGTAGACGAGGTGTGTATGAGGGGGGTGAGAGGAGGAACCCATCGCGTGCGGCCAGACCGCCAGAGAAGTTTGGGGTGGAGGAGAAGAGTACCTCCCCCTCACGACACAACAGATCTGTGAGGACTATTGATGTCAGGAAACTACTGGAGGTACACGCACACAGTCATAACGGACGGGCGTACACACACATAGCTTACATACGCATGCTCAAACAAATACACATACTCATTATGCACACCCTTTGCACAGGTAACTCTTGATCATTGTGATTGAACAGGTAGATGATGGTGTGTGTGTGTGTGTGTGGCCAGGTGGATGATGATTTGAGTAGAAGTGGGAGGAAGAGGAGGGCGAGCAGTGGGAAGAGGAGGAAGATTACACATGTGAGATCAGTCGACGAGATCACAGAGGAAGAGCTGGACAATGTGGCGGAAGGCGCCAAAGACAAGATACTGGACAAGGACCACGTAAGACACACACACACACAGCAAGGCTTTTATAATTGTCACCTTTCATCAGCTGCTCAGTTCTACGCTATCCCATCTCCTGTCCTGTGATAGAGATGGAACTGGTTTGTGTGTTCCAGGGCAGCACGTGTCACCAGTGCAGACAGAAGACTCTGGACACCAAGACGGTGTGTCGTAGCGGAGTATGTTCAGGGGGCAAAGGTCAGTTTTGTGGGCCCTGTCTGAGGAACCGCTACGGAGAGGACGTACGCTCCGCCCTGCTGGACCCAGTTAGTATACACACACAGCCCATGACCTCGGCCCAATCAGTACACCGAATATATTGTTTTGTCACTAAATCATGTATTTTTTTTCCCTCTCTATCTATCTATCTATCTATCTATCTATCTATCTATCTATCTAGGACTGGGAGTGTCCTCTGTGTAGAGGTATCTGTAACTGCAGTCTGTGTCGACGGAGAGAAGGACGTTGTGCAACAGGACAACTCGTCCATTTGGCTCAACACAAGGGCCACAGCAACGTCCAAGATTACCTGGAGAGGTAGGTGCAGTGGTGGAAAAAGTACCCAGTTGTCATACTTGTGTAAAAGTCAAGATGCCTTTATAGAAATTAACTCAAGGGAAAGTCACCCAGTAAAATACTACCTGAGTAAAAGTATTTGGTTTTAAATGTACTTAAGTATCAAAAGTAAAAGTATAAATCATTTCATATTCCTTATATTAAGCAAACCAGATGGTATTTTTTATTTAGGGATAGCCAGGGGCACACTCCAACACTCAGACATGTACAAACAAAGCAGTTGTGTTTAGTGAATCCGCCAGATCAGAGGCAGTAGGGATGACCAGGGATGTTCAATTGATAAGTGTGTGAATTGGACCATTTTCCTGTCCTGCTAAGCATTCAAAATGTAACGAGTACTTTAAAGTACTACTTAACTCGTTTTCTGGGGTATCTGTACTTTACTATTAATATTTTGGACAACTTTTACTTCACTACATTCCTAAAGAAAATAATTTACTTTTTACTCCATATATTTTCCCTGACAGTAGGCTACTTGTTAAGTAGGCTACTTGTTACACATTTTGAATGCTTAGCACAACAGGAAAATTGTCCAATTCACACACTTGTTTGGGGATGCTTTGCTGCCTCAGGACCTGGACGACATGCCTTAATAGAAGGAACCATCAATTCTGCTCTGTATCAGAGAATTCTACAGGAGAATGTCAGACCATCCGTCTGTGAGCTGAAGCTGAAGCGCAGCTGGGTCATGCAGCAATGATCCAAAACACACAATCAAGTCTACATGAAAATTGCTAAAAAGCAACACATTTGAAGTTTTGGAATGGCCTAGTCAAAGTCCAGACCTAATCCCAATTGAGATGTTGTGGCAGGACTTGAAACGAGCAGTTCATGCTTGAAAACCCACACATCACTGAGTTAAAGCAGTTCTGCATGGAAGAGTGAGCCAAAATTCCTCCACAGCGACGTGAGAGACTGATCAACAACTACAGGAGTCACTGGTTGGAGTCATTGCAGCTAAAGGTGGCACAACCAGTTATTGAGTGTAAGGGGGCAATTACTTTTTCACACAGGGGCATTGGGTGTTGCATAACTTTGTTTATGAAATAAATGAAATAAATATGTAATTGTTGTGTTATTTGTTCACTTATGTTCCCTTTATCTAATATTAGGTTTTGGTTGAAGATCTGATAACGTTCAGTATCACAAATATGCAAAAGTAGAGAAAATTTGAAAGGGGGCAAATACTTTTTCATAGCACTGTAAGTATATTTAAAACCCAATACTTTTAGACTTTTACTCAAGTAGTATTTTACTGGGTGACTTTCAGTAAAAGTAATTTTCTATTAAGGTATCTTTACTTTTACTGAAGTATGACTATTGGATACTTTTTCCACCACTGTGGGTGTCAGGGGAAATGTATGGAGTAAAACATAAAAAGTACATTCTTTTCTTTAGGAATGTAATGGAGTAAAAGTTACCCCAAAAAACTACTTAAATAGTACATTTACATTTTAGTCATTTAGCAGACGCTCTTATCCAGAGCGACTTACAGTTAGTGAGTGCATTTATTTTTATACCCCCCGTGGGAATCGAACCCACAACCCTGGCGTTGCAAACGCCATGCTCTACCAACTGAGCTACATCCCTGCCGGCCATTCCCTCCCCTACCCTGGACGACGCCGCCCCATGGGTCTCCCGGTCGCGGCCGGCTACAACAGAGCTTACTTTAAAGTATTTTTACTTAAGTACTTTACCACTGCATAGGTGGTGTGTGTGTTGGAGTTGGCTGTGTGTGTGTTGGATTCAGACAATAAAGGTTGTTTTAAATAAAACATCTCTCTACTTTTCTCTCTCCACAGCATCCAAAAAGATCTTAGAGCCTAGAGACAGACCAGACAAGCAGACAGCTCCCCCCGTTGGTCAGGACAGAGAATTACACCCTGGAGGCCCGGAGGGAGAGACCCAGCAGAGAGGGTGCGTCTCAATAATCTCACCTTTCTCCTGAAGTGTACACTCGTTCAATACTTCCCACACATCTGAAAGCATTGGATTTGCAGAGGCATGGGCTAAAGGGAGTTTCCACCATATTTCTTATACCAGTCATTTCCTTTCAAATCAATGTATGGAAGTGAACAAGTGCAAGCTTTGGGCAGAAGGAGAGATAATTAGGACGTAGTCATACTGACACACAGCATTATCCTGCTTTAGTACTGCCACAGTTCAGACTAGAGTCCAGGGTTTTGGATCTCGAGGTAGTCTAGAACAGTGTTCCTCAATCTCTGCCACTTTCCTCTGACACCCTATTTAATCACAGTCATGTTCAGTAGGGAGACAACGTTTTGAAACGGGAGGTAGTACCTGAACCTTTCCAGTAAGAACATAGAATTAACATTTACTTTGCAAAATGTTTTGCTACGGTGTACACCACTGAATATGACCCAGGAAAACCAGAACTTGTGGATCCCTGCAACACAGGTCTAGATGGATATCTGTGGTTCCAAGGCTGTGTTTACACAGGCAGCCCAATTTGGAAATTCTTAAATCATATTTTTATGCATCAGCAGTTAGGCAGTGGAGTTGAACTTTTATTAGACCAGGGATGAGACGGAGGATAAAGACTGTTAAATTGCATACCTTTTTAATTTGGGGAATAAAGTTTACGCACCTATTATTATGCTAAATTAGCATAGTTTACGTAACTCGAGAGTTAACGCACCTATTTTACCGCTGCATCCCTGGTAGTAAGACATGGTCTACCTTTTACTGAAAGGAACATAACATATTCCCTTGATTATAGACCATAGCCAATACAATTGGACCTGTGACATGTATAGTGTACGGTTTAATACACTTTGTTTTAATGTTTTTTGTTCTATATTGAGTTAAAGTTTAAAGACTGCTTCTGAAAGTGGACACTGTATGTTAGTTGAATCTGAATAAATAACTGAATTTATAACGTTTACTAGTTTGTGTATATCTATTGGTGTATATGGCTGTAGTAGCAGTTCGGAATGGCTGTAGATCGATTTAATCCTCTAGGGATAGTGAAGGAGAACACATTTCAGGAGGAAAGGGGAAGAATCTAAATTGGGCTTGAGAGGTCAAAGGGGGGTCAATTGTAGGGTCCTGAGATAGTTATGTGACCACGGCTAACGACCAGGTGCCTTTCCTGTCTGTCAGGTTCAAACTGATGTAAATGTACGTGTGTGTGTGTGTGTGTGTAAGTAACTTTTGGTAGATTCGTGGACACCAATTTACATTTTAGTCATTTAGCAGATGCTCTTATTCAGAGCGACTTAGTTATTGCATTCATCTTAAGATAGCTAGGTGGGACAACCACATATCAGTTATAGTAAGTAAAAACATTTTCTCAAAGTCAGCTAGTATGGAGGACGACACACCTGTTTGACAGAGCAAGTGAGAGACTGAGACAGAAAGAGGGAGACTGACCCTAATCAGGGAGAACTTATGATAAAGAGAGAGACACAGAGACTCTAGCCCTTATACTGAACAAAAACATAAACACAACATGCAACAAGTTCAATGATTTTACTGAGTTACAGTTCATATAAGGGAGTCAGTCAATTTAAATAAATAAATTAGGCCCTAATCTATGGATTTCACATGATTGGGCAGGGTGCGCAGCCATGGGTGAGCTTGGGAGGGCATAGGCTCACCCACTGGGGAGCCAGGCCCAGCCAATCAGAATGAGTTTTCCCTGTGTAATGATCATGCTGTTTAATCAGTTTCTTGATATGCCACACCTGTCAAGTGGATGGATTATCTTGGCAAATGAGAAATGGTCATGAACTGGGATGTAAACAAATTTGTGCACAAAATTGGAGAGAAATAAGCTTTCTGTGTGTATGGAACATTTTGGGGATCTTTTATTTCAGCTCATGAAACATAGGACCAACACTTTACATGTCACTTTCTATTTCTGTTCAGTATAATATACAGTAGACAGACAGGGAGAGAGGCTGTATATTATAAGGGATAGTCTCTCTCTGCCTCTCTCTCTCTCCCTCTGTAAATCTGTCTGTATATTATAAGGTCCAGAGACTAGACCTTATAATATGCAGAGAGAGACTAGCCCTTATAATATACAGATAGGGAGTGTCTCTGAGAAAGGGAGATACACTGACCGTGTAATAGAAGGCGCGAGACAGACTCACCCCTTTGATAGAGTGGGAGAGAGAAATGAAGGGAGCGAGATGCCGACCTTTATAAAAAAAAAAAAAGAAAGAGAGAGGGAAGGAAGGAGAGACTGGTCCTCATGATAAAAAAGAGAACAAACGTTCACAGCTCTCCTATTGCCCAACCCCCACATCACACAGTCACTGCCCTTCTCTCTGCTTCTCACCCTACCTTGACAGTACGCCGCACCAGCCCAACAGCTGACCGCAAGGCAGGCTGGGAGATTAAGTCCCAGTCGCCACAACACATTTCGAAGGCGAGGCTTCGCCAAATACAACTCCCATCTCAACCCTCGCAGACCGAGTCCTGAATATGTGGGAGGAGCGCACCGCCCACAAAAAGCTACAGCTATCTGTCTCCAGCTGCAATTCTAAAATTCAACTATAAAAAATAGGCATAAAATAGTGGTATTAATGAGGGGTGCTTTTGCATGAAGATCGTTGGAAAGACTTGTTGTACCTAGAGGCAGAAACAGCAGCGGCAGAAAGAGAGGAGAGAGAGCGAGGGGTGTTGGTCTGATGGGTAAATGGAAGTGGGTGGGCCTACCGCGGACACACTACTAACTTGAATTAGAATACATTTTTGCAGTCGATTTTTCCGTTAATTTAATTAACGCGCGTCGGTCGTTAAAGGGTGTTTTAGGTTGGTTCTGAGAGGCTTCGGGCGCGGAAACCGGACTGTTTCCCGTTATAACGGGAGGTTTGATTGTTGCTCGAGTTTTGTACCGCCCTTCCTGCCGAGTGGGTGGTTTAGGTGCTAACCGGAGCGACGACACAGCCCAGCTCGAACTATTCGCGGAGAAAAAAGGCCGTCCTTACCCGGTGCTTCAGCCGGCCTTTCTCCCCTAGCCTCTCCTCTCTGGTTTATGAATGCGTTATGAGTGGTAGGTACCCTCCCCTCTCATCTCCGTCTCCACCCCTCTATCCCTCTTTTCTTTCTCCCTCGCTTTCTTTGCATACAGCCTGACAGATATGCATAAACTGTTTGGTGATAAAGAATAGCGTTTTCCTAAAAAAGAGGCAACACGTTTCCATAACTGATCTGTTTTGTTGTATTAGTCTCTAATCGGGTTCCGATCACTGTGTATGCCTTTTTGGCCAGTAGTTGAACCATATGGTGTCACTACTCTTATAAAACCATGTGCAGGGAAATATTGACATCTTCATAGCCTATTTCCATTAGGTAGTCTCCGTTTACTCACAGTGATATTTATAAATGTGATCACTAATCATTCAGTCCTACAGTGTTAGTCTATTGATTATTGATCAAGTATTGTTTGATGGATGGTCCTCAGATCAGAAGAAGGAAGTGTCGGGATCAGAAGGAGGGAAACCAGGCAAGAAAGGCAAACGTTCTGGATCACAGGTAGACTGGTACACACACACACACCACTTCCTGATTCTGTCTAGAGACCATGTTCAGAGGATTGCATTATGTCTTTCAACACCAATAATGGACTTGTGTCTTTGGCTCCATGTCAATGAGATGAGGTTTTTAACAGTATAATAAAACATGTATTTAATATTTTCATAGCATTTCCATAGCATGTGTTCTGACAGGGTTTCCAAATGCATGTTTGATTCTAGTGTTGATATAGACTGTTATGTAGCTTCTGTATAAAAAAACACACTAGCTGTCTATAAAGGCAGCTTTAGGGGTGTGTTTGTGTACGTGTGTATGTGTGCGGGTGATATTAAATATTTGCCCGCGACCTACACAATGGTTCTTTGGCTGTCCCATAGGATAACCCTTTGAATAACCCTTTTTGGTTCCAGGTATAATCCTTTTGGTTTCCAAGTAGAACCCTTTCCACAAAGGGTTCTGCCTGGAACCAAAAAGGGTTCTCCTATGGGGACAGCCGAAGACCCTTTTGGAACCTTTTTTTCTAAGAGTGTAGTTCCTTTGTGACTACTGCTCTCTCTCTCTCTGTCTCTCTCTCTGTCTCTCTCTCTGTCTCTCTCTCTCTGTCTATATGCATGTTGTCTCTATGTGTGTGTGCATTCTATGTTTGAATTCCCCCTATCTGCCTGTGTGTGTGTGTTCTGTGTGTGTGTGTGTATTCTATCTCTCTCTAGGATTCCCAGCCATCTCCCCTAGCACTACTAGCTGCGACCTGCAGTAAGATAGGAGGTCAGGGAGGAGTGGAAGGACAGGTCCAGTTGCAAGCTGGTCAAATACAGGTAACAATTATTATCATCACAAGTTTTGTTATTCCTTGTATTAATGTTCTTGTTATTGTTATAGTTGTTACAATGTTGGTAATGTAAGTTCTGAAACAATAAGACATTATAAAGGCTCATACATGCTTTATAACATGGTACATACACTACATGGCCATTATAAAGGCTCATACATGCTTTATAACATGGTACATACACTACATGGCCATTATAAAGGCTCATACATGCTTTATAACATGGTACATACACTACATGGCCATTATAAAGGCTCATACATGCTTTATAACATGCTACATACACTACATGGCCATTATAAAGGCTCATACATGCTTTATAACATGGTACATACACTACATGGCCATTATAAAGACTCATACATGCTTTATAACATGGTACATACACGACATGGCCATTATAAAGGCTCATACATGCTTTATAACATGGTACATACACTACATGGCCATTATAAAGGCTCATACATGCTTTATAACATGGTACATACACTACATGGCCATTATAAAGGCTCATACATGCTTTATAACATGGTACATACACGACATGGCCATTATAAAGGCTCATACATGCTTTATAACATGGTACATACACTACATGGCCATTATAAAGGCTCATACATGCTTTATAACATGCTACATACACTACATGGCCATTATAAAGGCTCATACATGCTTTATAACATGGTACATACACGACATGGCCATTATAAAGGCTCATACATGCTTTATAACATGGTACATACACGACATGGCCATTATAAAGGCTCATACATGCTTTATAACATGGTACATACACTACATGGCCATTATAAAGGCTCATACATGCTTTATAACATGCTACATACACTACATGGCCATTATAAAGGCTCATACATGCTTTATAACATGGTACATACACTACATGGCCATTATAAAGGCTCATACATGCTTTATAACATGGTACATACACGACATGGCCATTATAAAGGCTCATACATGCTTTATAACATGGTACATACACTACATGGCCATTATAAAGACTCATACATGCTCTATAACATGGTACATACACGACATGGCCATTATAAAGGCTCATACATGCTTTATAACATGGTACATACACTACATGGCCATTATAAAGACTCATACATGCTTTATAACATGGTACATACACTATATGGCCATTATAAAGGCTCATACATGCTTTATAACATGGTACATACACTACATGGCCATTATAAAGGCTCATACATGCTTTATAACATGGTACATACACTACATGGCCATTATAAAGGCTCATACATGCTTTATAACATGGTACATACACTACATGGCCATTATAAAGGCTCATACATGCTTTATAACATGGTACATACACGACATGGCCATTATAAAGGCTCATACATGCTTTATAACATGGTACATACACGACATGGCCATTATAAAGGCTCATACATGCTTTATAACATGGTACATACACTACATGGCCATTATAAAGGCTCATACATGCTTTATAACACGGTGTATATCTGCAGACTTTCAGTGTACTGTGTGTTGATTGTACTTCCAGATCCAGAGACACATAGATTCACCTGGGAACCAGACTCTGGTTCCTACTCTAGTACATGTTTATTCAATTATGTTTATTTATTGTTTATTTATTATTGATGTATTGTTTATTTATTGTTTATGTATGTTTATTTATTTTGTATTTATTGTCTATGTATGTTTATTTATTGTATATTTATTGTTTCTGTATATTTATTTGCAGTTGCAGGGTGGGCAGATCCAGGGTCATATAGTTGTAGACGCAGCAGGTAATCAGACTCTGGTTCAGCAGCAGTTAGAACTGGTTCCTGCCCAGTTCACTGGTAATGGCTGGCAGATTATCACTACCGCTCCCCAAATGGCCAATGACACTGCCAATCAACCCGTCGCCGTAACGCTGGCCACCACTTCAGCCAATGACAGTGCTCCGGCAGGCCGTAAGGTGAAGGCGGTGGGCGGGACTAAAACCATAGCTGCCAATCAGCAGCAGCAGCAGCAGCAGTTCCAAATCATCCAGGTGTGTGTGTGTGTTTGTAGAATGGAAAGTTGACTGGAGGGATGCAGTCATGTATTTTTCTAATACTTGGGGAATGGAGTACTATATACTGTATAGTATACTATTTCTGTTTGTGTGTCCAGGTTCAGCTAATGCCCACCTAATGTCACAATGTTTCTAAGTAATATTATGTTTGTCTCTCCAGGTGCAAAATATGCCTTCGTCAGGGGGTGGGGTCCAGTACCAGGTGATCCCCCACCTGCAAACGGCAGACGGCCAACAGATCCACATCAGCCCCCAGACCGCATCCCTGGGGGGGCAGCACATCCAGATCAGGTAGGTGGCAGCTGTTTTAAAGGTTAGACTGGTAGTCTGCATGTTAGAGGTTAGACAGGCGGTTTGGGCGATTAAAAAAGTGGGAAAATTACCTTTTTACAGAAGAAAATAGATGAAGTGTTTCTATTCTATTCAGTCCGGCCCAGGGCGGTCTACCAGAGCAGGTCCAGCTGATCCAGACCCAGAACCAATCCCAGACCCAGGCCATCCTACAGCCGGCCAACCAGCAGGCCATCCTCACTGGCTCAGCCAATCAGACGTTGCAGCTTCGTCCAGCCCAGTCCTTCCCGCTACAGATGCAGACCTTACAGGGCTCCCAGACCCAGGTAATGACTACAGTACCCATAAACATTGGCGGTATGACCCTCGCCCTGCCGGTCATGAATAATTTAGCGGGGAGCGGAGCCGTGCAGCTTATCCAAGCAGCCGACGGCAGCTTTACCGTAGCTAACAGCAACCAGCTGGTGACAACAACGGCGGCGGCGGTGTCCGGGGCAGCTACTGTTACCGGGTCATCTGGCGGTACCATAACAACTATTGCCGGGGGCGATGGAGCATTGTCGGACGGAACACAGCTGAGTTCTGTAGCCGGGTCGGACGGAGGGGCGGAGAGAGACTCACAGAACCAACCCAGCGAGCAGGACTCACAGAACTCACAGATGGTACGTGGGTGTGTGTTTGTGTGACTTAACATTCGTGAAATAAAAGGATATATTGATTGATTGGTTGATTAATTAATTGGTTGGTTGATTGACATGTCCAGAGCCAGGCCAACGGACTGCAGGGCCAATCAGATCCTCCAGGGACCATCCAGCAGGTCATCGTGGGACAGGTGGGTTCTACTCAGCTGCTTTTACCTTTTGACCTTCCATTCTATTCTATTATGATATGATATGGTATTATACTATAATTATATTATAAGTTGTTATTATCATCATTGTCCAGATGGGCAACCAGGTGTTGCAGCAGATCCAGATCCAGCCACAGAACCAGGTAACACACACACACACACACACACACACACAGGGACCATCCAGCAGGTCAGAAAGTGTGTAAACCCTGTGTTTGTTTCCACCAGATCCAAGGCCAGCCGCATCAGATCCAAACCTTTCAGTTAGGACCAGGCGGGACCCTACAGCCCATACAAGCCTTCCAGAACCAACAGGTAGCTAGCTGCTCTCTGCTGCTCTCAACAGTTTGGGGAAGGGCCTTCCCCAAACTGTTGCCACAAAGTTGGAAGCACAGAATCGTCTAGAGTGTCATTGTATGCTGCAGCGTTAAGATTTCCCTTCACTGAAACTAAGGGGCCTAGCCCGAACCATGGAAAACAGCCCCAGACCATTATTCCTCCTCCACCAAACTTTACAGTTGGCACTATGCATTCAGGCAGGAAGAGCCTTGGCGTGACCCTGGACAACACCCTGTCGTTCTCCGCTAACATCAAGGCGGTGACCCGATCCTGCAGGTTCATGCTCTACAACATTCGGAGAGTACGACCCTGCCTTACACAGGAAGCGGCACAGGTCCTAATCCAGGCACTTGTCATCTCCCGTCTGGATTACTGCAACTCGCTGTTGGCTGGGCTCCCTGCCTGTGCCATTAAACCCCTACAACTCATCCAGAATGCCGCAGCCCGTCTGGTGTTCAACCTTCCCAAGTTCTCTCACGTCACCCCCCTCCTCCGCACACTCCACTGGCTTCCAGTTGAAGCTCGCATCCGTTACAAGACCATGATGCTTGCCTATGGAGCAGTAAAGGGAACGGCACCTCCGTACCTTCAGGCTCTGATCAGTCCCTACACCCAAACGAGGGCATTGCGTTCATCCACCTCTGGCCTGCTGGCTCCCCTTCCTCTGCGGAAGCATAGTTCCCGCTCAGCCCAGTCAAAACTGTTCGCTGCTCTGGCACCCCAATGGTGGAACAAGCTCCCTCACGACGCCAGGACAGCGGAGTCACTCACCACCTTCCGGAGACATTTGAAACCCCACCTCTTTAAGGAATACCTGGGATAGGATAAAGTAATCCTTCTACCCCCCCCCAAAAAAATAATAATAATAATAATTGGAAAGTGGTTATCCCACTGGCTATAGGGTGAATGCACCAATTTGTAAGTCGCTCTGGATAAGAGCGTCTGCTAAATTACGTAAATGTGCCCTTGAGCAAGGCACTTAACCCTAATTGCTCCTGTAAGTCGCTCTGGATAAGAGCGTCTGCTAAATGACTAAAATGTAAATGTAGCGTTCTCCTGGCATCCGCCAAACCCAGATTCGTCTGTCAGACTGCCAGGTGGTGAAACGTGATTCATCACTCTAGAGAACGTGTTTCCACTGCTCCAGAGTCCAATGGGGGCGAGCTTTACACCACTTCAGCCAACGCTTGGCATTGTGCATGTTGATCTTAGGCTTGTGTGCGACTGCTCGGCCATGGAAACCCATCCCTACTAACAGTTCTTGTTATGACATTGCTTCCAGAGGCAGTTTGGAACTCGGTAGTGAATGTTGTAACCGAGGACAGGCGATTCTTAAGCCCTACGCGCTTCAGCACTCGGCGGTCCCGTTCCGTGAGCTTGTGGCCTACCACTTTGCGGCTGAGCCGTTGTTGCTCCTAGATGTTTCCACTTCACAATAACAGCACTTACAGTTGACCGGGGCAGCTCTAGAAGGCTATGTGCTCGATTTTATACACCTGTCAGCAACGGGATGAAATAGCCGAATGCACTAATTTGAAGGGGTGTCCACATACTTTTGTAAATATAGTGTATGTTATCAGCATACAACAAGATGCCCAGGAATATATCCACAACTTCAACACCACATTTAGCATGTTTGATTTGTAGGGCTAAATCATTAACATATAGTGCAAATAAAGTGGATGAACGTAGGTCTCCCTGCGTTACACTGTAAGGGGTTGGAAAGCAGCCAGTCCTGAGGTCATTGACCTGAACACAGGCAACTGGAGCCCGATCGAGAGCTTTGATGGGATCATAGAATCTTCCATCAATTGAAAGTCACTGAGCTCTTCAGGAAGGACCATTATACTGCCAATGTTTGTCTATGGAGATTGAATGGCTCTGGGCTCGATGTTATACACCTGTCAGCAACGCGTGTGGCTGAAATAGCCGAATCCACTAATTTGGAGGGGTGTTCACATACTTTTGTATATATAGTGTGTATTTCTTCTATCCTCTATGATTTTAATGTGTGTTGTATTGATTTGAATTGAATGTCTGAATGATTGATATACTTTTTTTATTAATTGATTCCTCCAGGTTCTGATCCGGACCCCAACCCTCTCCTCGTCGGGCCAGATCACATGGCAGACCCTGCAGCTCCCCGGGGGGATGTCTGTGCCCCAGCAGCTGACCCTGGCCACTGTGGGCGGAGGGGCTGTGGGAGGAGGGGGCTTCGTGCAGCTGGGGGGGGCTCCCCTGACGCTGAGCGCGGCCCAGATCAACCCTGGGTCAGGGGTGCAGACGGTCAACATCGCTGGACTGGGCACCGCTGGGGTACAGATGCAGGGGGTACCCCTCACCATCACTGGACTACAGGGTGAGAACAGAGAGACACAGAGAGAGCAGGAGAGGGACAGTGTGTGTGTTGAGTGTTGTTCTCCAAATGTGTATTTGTTTATTTTCTGGGGGGTTGGGAGCAGTGCATATTATACTCTACTATACCACAATTGAAATACGCCTCTGGGCTTTATTGTGTTTTTATCCTCAATAATTGTTTATTAATGTAATGTTGTCTTTGGCTGGAGCAGTCTACTACTTTTAATTATCCAATAAATAAAATTAAAATTAAAATACTATATTCTGCCACCAGGTCAGCCGCAGGGTCAGGAGGGCGGGGTTAAGGTCCAGTCCTCCCCAGTAAAGGTAACCATGGGTAACGTGGCTGGGTCGTCACTAAGTCCAGACCAGATGGGTTCTGTCCAGAGTTCATCAGACCAGGAAGGACCGCCCAGCAAGAGGCTCCGCAGGGTGGCATGCTCCTGTCCTAACTGTAGGGACGGAGAGGGGAGGTACGGACACATGCATGCACGCACGCACACACACACACACACACACACACATGCACACTCTCACTGTCTCTCTCTGACTGTGTGTGTGTGTTGCAGGACCAGTGGAGACCCATCTAAGAAGAAGCAGCATGTGTGTCACATGGAGGGCTGTGGGAAGGTCTACGGTAAGACCAGTCTATACTGTGGAAAGGTCTACGGTAAGACCAGTCTATACTGTGGAAAGGTCTACGGTAAGACCAGTCTATACTGTGGAAAGGTCTACGGTAAGACCAGTCTATACTGTGGAAAGGTCTACGGTAAGACCAGTCTATACTGTGGAAAGGTCTACGGTAAGACCAGTCTATACTGTGGAAAGGTCTACGGTTAGACCAGTCTATACTGTGGAAAGGTCTACGGTTAGACCAGTCTATACTGTGGAAAGGTCTACGGTTAGACCAGTCTAAACTGTATGAAATAGAGATTTACCAGTCTATGGAACCAATAAAATATAGAATATTAATATGATATTAACAATCTGTAATAATATTCTATCTACCAGGTAAGACCAGTCACCTGAGAGCTCACCTCCGCTGGCACACAGGAGAACGACCCTTTGTCTGTAACTGGATCTTCTGTGGCAAGAGGTTCACACGCTCGGACGAACTGCAGAGACACAGACGGACACACACAGGTACGCACTCCCAAGCGCATGCGCGCACACACACACACACACACACACACACGTCCTGTGTCTATGTTGTTCTTATTCAGATGTACCCATCCTCCAGGTGAGAAGAGGTTTGAGTGTCCAGAGTGTAGTAAGCGTTTCATGCGAAGCGACCATCTCTCCAAACACATCAAAACCCACCAGAACAAGAAGGGAGGGGCTTCTCTCGCCATCATCACCACTGACGACATGGAAGATTCCAACCAGGGCTTAGGCTCGTCCCCTCGCATCGTAACTGTGGAGACGCTCTCCCAGGACTCCGCCCCCACCACTCCAACAACCTCCTCGCCCAATCAAATAGAGGGAGAAGAGGAAGAGGAGGAAGAGGAGGAGTTTGAGTAGTGACCAGTGACCACTTCCTGTTTAGGGAGAAAGCAGGGAGAGCTGACTTCCTGGTTGGTCTCCATGGTTACGCTGTGGCTGTGGAGGTCAGGTGGCCTATTGTTTTTTTTGTTTTTTTTTAAGAAGAAAAATATGATGAACTGAAAATGACATAAACAGACAGAGGTATCTGAACTAATGAATGAATCTAACGACAGACTAAAGGTATGAATTAGTAGAATGGTGTTTATAACAGAACAGAGGTCAGGGGAAAAGGTATAATATAGATTTAGGGTGAATCTGAACTCGCACCCTATCCCCTATATAGTGCACTACTTTTGGCCAGAGCCTTCTGAGTAGCGTTGTTATGTAGGGAAGAGAATGCCATTTTTGGGATAGGCTAATTAGACTAACACAAGACAGAACCCTAGAGTTCTAAAATATCAAGAAGAGACATTGGATGTGTCCCAAATAGCTAGGGTGCCATTTGAAACGCAGCAATTGTATCTCTATGCACAAAGATGTTCCTCTGCTAATACTGTAATGATGATGATGATGATGAAGAAACATGATATGTGGCATGGTCCAGACTGTAGGACAGACAGGTGAGAGGAGCAGGGACAGGTGTGTGTATGTGCGTACGTACGTGTGTGTGTGTGTGTGGGCATGTGTGTGTGTGTGTGTTTGAGAGTGTGTGTCAATGTATCTCGGTTCAACAGGACTATAGTTCAGGTAAAGACCAGTCTGATAAACTCTTACTGAAGAAAGACAAGAAAAAGAGGAATAAACCTCTAAATGGTTGAAAAAAAAGCACATAGAAAAAAATATGTATAAATGATGCATTCCTATAGAAACGCTCTGCATTTGAAATATTAATAGTTTCTATAAAACAAACAATCTAGCTTTCTGCAACAGGCTGTTTAGTGAAAGCAATACTATAAGACAATCCTAGTGAAACCATGTTTACATTAATGACAGTAGAGGAAAAGGTTTCCCTGGTATGAAACAGCCAGTCAGCTCACAGCATTAAAGGTACACTCAGCAATATGACATCATACACAGCAGGTGACCTCCTGCTTGATGATGCCATATTGCTGAGTGCACCTTTAAGAAGTAGCTCTCCTGGGGTTGGTGGGTGGGTAGGACAGTGTCAGTAAGCAGTGCTAATGTCAAAACACATCAGCTATTGTCTATACTAGAACCAATTTAGAATACAGCAGTAATGTGACTCAATCATCGTATCTAAACTCGAAACTTGTATAAAGTATCAACGTCTGAGATAAACGAGATACATTTCAGTAATTTGACATATTCCAAATAATATATATTCGAGATATTTCATTAACAGTAAAAGAGTTCCAGTGTGATTTGATGTTGGTGCTGCTTTCTCTGCATTGTGAAGGTAGAGCCCCCTGTGTGTGTCTTGGTACTACAACGCCTTAAAACAAGCAGTATTACACACACACACATACACACATTTGGGGAGGGGGGGATGAAGAGAAGGTGTGATGAAGGGGAGAGAAAGGGTTGTGGGAGGGGGGATGTTATTACCATGTGGTTGTTATGACATGTTTCTGGTGATGTTGCTCTATGTTAGTGTAAGTGCATACGTTTTTTTATTGTATTTTTAGCTCTTTATTTTCTTAACCCCCCCCCCCCCCCAGTACATTCTGACACAGATGATTACGGAGTACAGCTAATTTATTATCTGTCCTATTTTAATATCTGCCTTTTGCTGGAGTGTATCGTACGTAAGCGTTGATCAGAGGTGTGTGTACAGCATGTTGCCTTTTAGTGCTGTTTTCTCTCCTTTTTAATTAATCGTAAACTTATTTTGCTAAGTCCGTCGTCGTCATGACTGCGGCCCGTTATTTCTACTACTCTTTCGCGCCATAATATGTTTAAAAAAGAAAATGAAAGCAAAAAATTAATAAAATATAAAAATCATATTTGAAAATTAAATGGTTAATATACCAATCAGATGTGGATGTTTACGGTAATATTTTGTGTGACAACCAGTTTTCTTTAATATTTTCTAGTGACATCTCATTTGTAAAATGTTTTTCTAAGCAGTTTGTGGATCTCCATGATGATTGATAAGGCTGGCCTCCAAGGCTGCAGGTTCTTGATTATTGATATTTTATTGATATTTTTAAATCAACTTTGTACAAATGTGGTATGTGGCTGGGATTAAAGAAGTGAAAAGAGAAAAAAAGACTTTGCCTGCATAACACTTAAAATAAAGTGATGAAATCAGTCTAAACCAGTCTCGCTCACTCCTCCCAACCGTCTGTGTGTGTTCTGTTGGTCATGTTGTAAAGAGTAAACACTGACCTCTTGCTATGAAGTTGCTCTGATAACACTTTAACATACAGAGGACTTTGGCAAGCTCTCTCTTCCCTCTCTCTTTCTCTCAGTTCTCAGCTGTGTTGTGAGTGTGACAGTGGTCTGGTCCCGTGATTGTGATGACTGAGACTGATTTAAAATGCACAATTTTGCCATCTCTCTTCACACACACCTGCGGTGCCCTAGAAACATGTCTGCTGGTGTGTACTCTGTAATTACCTCGGAAGCGGAACCTCCTCCGTCCCGCCCTTCTCAGCGGGTTGCTAGGCAACGAAAGTAGTCTGCAGGCTAGAGGCATGGCTGGTTGTGTGTTTGTGTGAGCAAATGTAGCTGGTTGTGTGTGTGTGTGTGTGTGTGTGGAGGCGTTGTGTGTGTGTGTGTATGTTGATTGGAGGGGAAGGAGAAACCACACAAACCATGTAGGAATAGAAAAGGTGAGGTTATAAAAAATCAGAATGAGTTACACATCAGTTTAAATCTAACACTTAAAAATGTCATTCAAACATTCATGTTACAGGAACTCTTAATCACATGCATTTACAGAAAATATACACAAAAGTGCTTTTATTATACAAACACAATGCCCAGTTAGCAGTCTGAGGTCAAATACACGTCAAATAGCTGAGCTTTAATTTAGCTTGGATTTGAACTTTTGGGACTATTGCAACTTTTGGGACTACCGCACAAACTCAGTGATGTGCTGAAATTATCAACTTGACATAAGAATTTTGTAAACACAATTTAAGTACTGCTTATGAATGACTTATTTGTGGGTTATGAACGTGTAACGAAATCCTTATGTACAGTGCATTTGGAAAGTATTCAGACCCCTTCCCTTTTTCCACCTTTTGTTACATTACAGTCTTATTCTAAAATGGATTAAATAAAAAAAATCCTCATCTACACACAATACCCCATAATGACAAAGCAAAAACAGGTTTTTAGACATTTTTGCAAATTTATTGAAAATAAAAACAGAAATACCTTATTTAAGTAAGTATTCAGACCCTCCTGTTTCCATTGATCATCCTTGAGATGTTTCTACAACTTGATTGGAGTCCACTTATGGTAAATTAAATTGATTGGACATGATTTGGAAAGGCACACACGTCTATAGAAGGTCCCACAGTTGACAGTGCATGTCAGAGAAAAAACCCTGGGGAAGGGTACCAAAACATTTCTGCAGCATTGAAGGTCCCCAAGAACACAGTGGCCTCCATCATTCTTAAATGGAAGAAGTTTGGAACTACCAAGACTCTTCCTAAAGCTGGCCTCCCGGCCAAACTGAACAATTGGGGGAGAAGGGCCTTGGGAGGTGATCAAGAACCCGATGGTCACTCTGACAGAGCTCCAGAGTTCCTCTGTGGGGATGGGAGAACCTTACAGAAGGACAACCATCTCTGCAACACTCCACCAATCAGGCCTTTATGTTAGAGTGGCCAGGCGGAAGCCACTCCTCAGTAAAAGGCACATGACAGCCCGCTTGGAGTTTACCAAAAGGCACCCAAAGGACCATGAGAAACAAGACTGAATGCTTTGGCCTGAATGCCAAGCGTCACGTCTGGAGGAAACCTGGCACCATCCCTACGGTGAAGCATGGTGGTGGCAGCATCATGCTGTGGGGATGTTTTTCAGTGGCAGGGACTGGGAGACTAGTCAAAATCGAGGAAAGATGAACGGAGAAAAGTACAGAGAGATCATTGATGAAAACCTGCTCCAGAGTGCTCAGGGCCTCAGACTGGGGCGAAGGTTCACCTTCCAAGAGGACAACGACCCTAAGCACACAGCCAAGACAACGCAGGAATGGCTTCTGGACAAGTCTCTGAATGTCCTTGAGTGGCCCAGCCAGAGCCCGGACTTGAACCTGATCGAACATCTCTGAAGAGACCTGAAAATAGCTGCGCAGCGACGCTCCCCATCCAACCTGACAGAGCTTGAGAGGATCTGCAGAGAAGAATGGGAGAAACTCCCCAAATACAGGTGTGTCAAGCTTGTAGCGTCATACCCAATAAGACTCTAGGCTGTAATTGCTGCCAAAGGTGCTTCAACAAAGTACTGAGTGATGGGTCTGAATACTTATGTAAATGTGAATTTTAGAATAAGGCTGTAACGTAACAAAATGTGGAAAAAGTAAAGGGGTCTGAATACTTTCCGAATGATTGCACTGTCTTCCGACATGACATGAACTATGCACTGCAGAAAGGGTTGTCAAGCTTTCTGACGTGAGACAATGGGTACCGTTCTAATAATGGGATACCAGTCTTTGAAAGTATTTGACCCAGGTCTGCCAGTTAGAGAGATTATTTTTTATTATTGCTGGCCCTGTAGCCAGTCAGTACCTTTAATGAAAAATATAATATAATGAAAAAATAAACAATAAAACAATTGAAATAAATCACAATAAATAATAATAATTAGTGTTATGGACTAAATAAATTAGCAGCTAATGCTCTAAACATCAGACATGATGTAGAGAAAAACTGAACATGAAACAAATGTATTATTCAATATTATTCATAGTTTTGTTTACTGGAATTCTTGTAGATAGAAGTGTAATATGGAACGTTCAGGATCCAATCAGGAGCCTTCACAGTAGTTTAGGAGCCAATCAGCAACCTTCCCAATAGTTCAGGAGCCAATCAGCGCTCAGTAGTCTGACAACACTACGACCCTATCATGCTACGTAACGATGCTAGTGCACATTTCTACTCTGTCTCTCCACAAGTATGCTAATTTTTTAAAAACGAATGCTCGTTTCATATATTAAAACTAGATACAGACGGTACATTAACAACCGTTGGAAGCTACCCGTCCTCTCAAAACTCCAGTTATGCCAGGCACACCTACTCATTCCAGGGTTTTTCTTTATTTTTACTATTTTCTACATTGTAGAATAATTTTTGCTTATTTGAGCTGTTCTTGCCATAATATGGACTTGGTCTTTTACCAAATAGGGCTATCTTCTGTATACCACCCCTACCTTGTCACAACACAACTGATTGGCTCAAACTCATTAAGAAGGAAATTCCACAAATTTACTTTTAACAAGGCACACCTGTTAATTGAAATGCATTCCAGGTGACTACCTCATGAAGCTGGTTGAGAGAATGCCAAGAGTGTGCAAAGCTTTCATCAAGGCAAAGGGTGGCTACTTTGAAGAATCTCAAATATAAAATATATTTTGATTTGTTTAACACTTTTTTGTTTACTACATGATTCCATATGTGTTATTTCATAGTTTTGTTGTCTTCACTATTATTCTACAATGTAGAAAATAGTAAAAATAAAGAAAAAACCTTGAATGAGTAGGTGTCTAAACTTTTGACTGGTACTGTAGTTTTGGTGTCAGGCAAAAAAAGGTAATGATTGTGGAGTGTCACATATTCACACTTTACTGCTGCTGCAACGTCACCATTCATTCATTCATTCGTTCATTCATTCAATTATTCATTCTGACCACTAGGTGGCAAGCTAACACAGGACCCACAGGTTGAGTGGAGCGAGAGAGATCAAGTAAACTAATACACTTTTAGTGTTCTCTGTGATAAAAGCATACATATTTAGCATTGATAATTCTATCAATGATCAATGTTCAGTACCTTTCAATGGCTGCCAGTCCATAAAGCCACATAAAATGACAGTATCAGTGTTACCCTGTCCAGTTTTTCATGATTTAGTATCCTTCCCCTAACCTGTAACCAGTGCAAGTGGACTGAGAAAAGATTCCTGTAGGCCTGCCCACTGTAATTTTACCGTACCTGGGCTTAGTTTTTCAGAGTTGCTGGTTCTCAAGCAGTATAATATTAGAGGTGCTGCTTTTTTGTACCTGTCAGCAATGGCCCACTTCAACCTTTGACCTCTAACCCCTGACCCCTCACTGCCAGGGTTCGCCCAGGGGCATCTTGGGAACGGTGATATGCATCTCCATCGGACGGTCAGGGCTCGGGGGGCGGTCCCTCCGGTAGGATACCGTCTTCTCATTGGTCGCTGGGATGTGTGACAGATCCTAATGATACAACATGCACAAGCAGTCAGAAACACGCACACAAGTGTGTTCCTGTGTGTATCTAAAATATTGGAGAATCTTACCTTGCCAGTGGGGTTGTATTGTTGGTCAGTGGCGCCACTCTGTGGCAAAGATCGTCTCTGCAGCAGCAGCACCAGTACAGCCAGCATCACCAAGCCAGGGAGGAACGTCAACACACACACACTGAGGAAGGTCCCCACATACCGCCTACTGGATACACACTCTGGAGACACACACACACACACACACACAGTTGTGAGTACTTTATCTCTATCCATTGTAGTATACAGGGACACACAGACCCAACACACCAATATTTGACCCTGAAATAGTTACAAATTACCACTGTCCGCAAACACACACATGCATGCATGGGCACACACACACACACACACACACACACACACACACACACACACACACACACACACACACACACACACACACACACACACACACACACACACACACACACACACACACACACACACACACACACACACACACACACACACACACACACACAAAGGGCTCATCCTCAGACAAAGAGACTAAAGTTCTACTCTGACATTTATAACTGTTGCCATGGAAACTTGGCTTCCGCAACCGGGAGTGTGAGTGTTTGGGAATACAGTGGGGAGAGGGGAGAGGCGGGAGGAGAGTGGGGGAGGTATGGGGGGAGGAGGGTGTGGGACAGGGAGAGAGGGTGGAAGATTGGGGAGAGAGACAAAGGGGAGAGTGGGACACACACAATGAATAGTGCTGTTTCCAAGAGAGGTGGTGGGGTGCAATTGTTGCAATTTACACTTACACAGTGTGTGTGTGTGTTTGTTTGTGTGTGCGTGTGTCTCACCAGGTTGTGTGTTGAAATGTAGAAGAGTATTTCCTGAGACAAGTGCAGTGTGGAAGCGATAGTTACAGTTGTCTTTCTTATACACACACTGTCTCCATTCCTGACCTACTAGGACTAGAGAGAGAGAGAGAGAGAGAGAGAGAGAGAGGGAGAGCGAGAGAATATATTAATGTTTATCCCATCAACTCTTAACAAGAGAAAGAGAGAGAGAATGAACTGAACGAATGTCATGGACATTTTTTATATTTTTTTGCAGACCATCATGACATGTTTGTGTGTGTGAGTGTGTGCTTCTCTCTGGTATAACCCCTGACCCCATTCTACCTGTGACATCATTGACGTAACCCACTAATGGGGCGCAGGTATGGTTGCACTGCCCCGCCTCTCTCTGAGACAGACCGTAAGACAAGTGACAGTCTATACACCTCCTAATAGAGCGAGAGAGAGGATGAGAGAGCAAGAGAGAACGAGAGAGAGGGAGAGAGAGGGAGAGAGAGAGTGATTACCAGGGTGGTTGACGTGACCGACCACGTATGAACCCAGGTCATCAGAATACACAGCACCAGATTGTGTTAGCTCGCTGAGCTGAAGCCTTACCAGTGTGACTGACAGGAGCTGTGGCAGGTGGGACATCTCTCACAAAACGCTCCGGAATATTGATGGTCGTCACACACACACCTGCCACACACACACCTGCCACGCCCGCTGCATAGCACCCCGTTGTCGGACAGGCAGGTTGCTGTGGAGACTGGGCACATGCAGCTCTCCCCTGTCCAGTCCTCCTCACACACACACTCACCAGACACACACATACCTCGCCCTGAAGGAGAGAGGGAGAGAGAGATTGTAGTCTCTACCACCAGTTACACAGTGAATAAGAATTAGATCGTAAGATGCGAAATGTACAGTCTTGGGTTCTGTGTGTGTGTGTCTGTGTGTGCACAACGTGTGTGTGTCTGCATTACCTCCACACAGTAGTCCGTGTTGGTAGGGGCAGGAGTAGTCGTCCATCTGACAGTACTGTCCATAGACTGTTCCCAGACTGTTCCTCTCACACACACACTTCCCACACACACACACTCCCCGACCGTTACAGTCCACCCCCGATCCCCCCTCACGACACTGCCACGACCACGCCGGTCCGTGTGTGTGAGGGTGTGTGGGTGTGTGCTCTGGGTCTAGGTCCGGTGTGCGTGTGTGCATGTCCGGATTGTTCAAGTCTTGATTATTATGGTCTGTATCTGGGGTGTCCTCTCCACACGTTGACTGATGTGTGGTATCGTCGTGGCAACGCCAGTCCGGTCCACAGTGACAGCGACATCGTGAGTGAACCTTGATGATGGCTGACTCATTGTAACCCACGGGCCTGACGAAGACCTGGACCACGTCATCTTCATCATCATGATCGTCAGGACAGGAGTGCAGGCCGATGGTGATGTTGAAGTAGACCTACATAGAAATAGAATGAGTAGAGAGTAGACTAGAGTTAGAGTTATAGCGAGCAGAGCCGACATTCAACCTCAAGACATTGGCCCTATTCATACATTTAAAGGTAGACTCAGCAATATGGCATCATCACACACAGCGGAGGGATGTGCTTAAACACTATTTTCATGAGTTAGGGGTGAATCCTTACTGTAAGGGGTGAATCCTAACTTACTTCAATGGGAGACTATGAGAAAATTCAGACTTTGCTCCTAAGATTGTATATGCTGAAATAATATATCCGATAAAGGAGCTTTTCATAAACAATAACAACAGGTCAGCTGATAATCAAATGACAAGTTAATGTGTTGAGTCATAATCTACTCAGATCAGATTATTCACTAATATGCCTACCTCTGTAAGAAACACGCACATGCACATACATACGCACGCATGTATACACACACAGACCCACCGCCACTTGACAAGTGCGTGCGTGCTTGAGTGTGTGTGTGTTTGTGTGCGAGCATGCGTGTGTGTGTGTACCGTCTGGTTGGGCTGGACGTTGGAGCAGCTGCGGTTGTCGTGGGATACAGATCCTTCCGGACAGAGAGGAGAGACACTGACCAGGAAACGACTGAACGCTCTGTCCTCCACTGACACGGACACCTGGACAACTGACAACAACCTCTAGAGGAGAGAGAGATGGAGAGAGAACGAGAGAGAGTGGTGGAAAGAGAGATAGAGAGGGAGAGAGAGAGTGAGGGAGAGAGAGGGTGAGGGTGAGGGAGAAAGAGGGTGAGGGAGAGCGAGAGAGAGAGAGAGAGATGGAGAGAGAACAGGTTGTCACATGTCCTCAGAAAGCCTCCATTGTTCTCCGGTCCTCTGATCAACAGAGAGGCTGATGGGAAAGAAGGAGGCAGGTCTAAAAATAGTGTCTTTGTATTCGTCGGTGATTAGACTGTGTTACCGTGGAGAAGGGATAGCCTTAATAATGCCAGGCTCTGTTCTGCGGATTCACTGTGTGTGTGTGTGTGTTTGTGTGTGTGTATCCGTGTGTGTCTGTGTGTGTGTGTACAGACAGAGTGTGCAGATCTGTGGAGTTGGCAGATTCCCGTACAGAGCAATGGTTTGTTCTGTGCCCCGGGGTGTGATAGATTATACTGGGCCATGCCAAACCTTCACCCTCCCCTTACTCCTCCACCCACCCAACAACGTCCCGCTCCCATCAGTGTTTTTTCGTTTCTGTGTGTGTGTGTTACCTTGTATGCGTCCACCACCACGTCTATAAGGTTGGGAGCCTGGAACAGAAGATTAGAGCCTGGTAGCAACCTGACCAACTCCTAGAAAGAGAGAGAGAGAGAGAGAGAGAGAGAGAGAGAGAGAGAGATAGTTAGAGAGAGAGAGAGAGAGAGAGAGAGAGAGAGAGAGAGAGAGAGAGAGAGAGAGAGAGAGAGAGAGAGAGAGAGAGAGAGAGAGAGAGATGTTAACTCCAGGGCCAGAGAGAAAGGGACACAGAGTCTGGGGTCCTCAGTTTGAGACAATGTTAATTAATGAGTGTGCGATGGGTTTGTGTGTGTGAGAGATCAGCAAAGAGAGAGTCGTGTGTGTAGAGAGATTACCTCATACCACTGATATTGTAGTTGTTCCACAGCAAAGAGAGAGTAGATGTGGTTCTCTAGAAGCTTCTCGGCCAGCAGGCCTAAACTGGGATGGTCCTAACAGAAACAGATAGACAAGCCATGTTGGTGTTCTCTGTGTGTATGTGTGTGTTCACCATGTGTTCATAGGTGTATTTGTTTGTGTGTTTGCGTGCACGAGTGTGTGTTCTCCACGTGCATATAGGTGTCTGTGGACATGCCTGTGCGAGTGTGTCTCACCATGGTAGTGTGAGTATGTGTGTGTGTATAGGTGGTATAGGTGTGTATAGGTGTGTATAGGTGTATATAGGTGTATATAGGTGTGTATAGGTGTATATGGGTGTGTATCAGTGTGTAATAGGTGCCCAGGTTGTGTTTTAGGTGTGTATATAGGTGCATTAGGTGCGTATATTGGTGTGTAATATGTTGCATATAGGTGTAGTATAGGTGTGTATAGGTTGGATGGTTTCTGGTGTGTATCGGTTTGTGATAGTTCTATATGGTGTTATCTGGTGTGTTAGGTTTGTTAGGTGTATGTGTTAGTGTGTATGTTGTCTGGGTGTCTTGGTTTGGTTATCGGTGTGTTACTAGGTGTGTCTCGCGTGTGTTAGGTGTGTCTATCGTTGTGTCTGGTGTGTCTTGGTATGGTTGTTTGTTCTGGTGGTTTGGTTGTGTTCTGGTGTGTCTCGGTTTTGTCTAGGTGTGTCTGTGTGTGTTATCGGTGTGTTGGTTGTGTATAGTGGTGTATGTTGTTCGTTTTGTATCTAGTGTGTGTAGGTCGTATCGGTGTGTGCATATAGGGTGTATACGGTGATATATCGGTGTGTGATCTGGTGTATTGGTGTGTCCGTGTGATACTCGGTGATTACTAGGTGGTTTGTGATTCATGGTGTTCATGAATGATGTCAGTTTGTCATTGATTGTAAGAGTGGAATAAGTTTGCATATAGTGTAAAGGTTGATAGGTGTTGTTAGGTGTGTATAATAGTGGGAAAAGATTGTCCCTGGTTTTGTATAGTTTGCCACTGCAGCAAAGAATGCATTATTTCCTGGAGATTTGACGAGAGAGACAAATATCAAATCCAAAACTCATGACAAAGTAAAGATTGCATTAGAGGAAAATTTGTCCCCAACAGAAAAGAGTCGGCTCCCAGGTGTCTTTTATACAGGTAACGAGCTGAGATTAGGAGCACACTCTTAAAGGGAGTGCTCCTAATCTCAGCTTGTTACCTGTATAAAAGACACCTGTCCACAGAAGCAATCAATTAATCAGATTCCAAACTCTCCACCATGGCCAAGACCAAAGAGCTCTCCAAGGATGTCAGGGACAAGATTGTAGACCTACACAAGGCTGGAATGGGCTACAAGACCATCGGCAAGCAGCTTGGTGAGAGTGACAACAGTTGGTGCGATTATTCGCAAATGGAAGAAACACAAAATAACTGTCAATCTCCCTCGGCCTGGGGCTCCATGCAAGATCTCACCTCGTGGAGTTGCAATGATCATGAGAACGGTGAGGAATCAGCCCAGAACTACACGGGAGGATCTTGTCAATGATCTCAAGGCAGCTGGGACCATAGTCACCAAGAAAACAATTGGTAACACACTACGCCGTGAAGGACTGAAATCCTGCAGCACCCGCAAAGTCCCCCTGCTCAAGAAAGCACATATACAGGCCCGTCTGAAGTTTGCCAATGAACATCTGAATGATTCAGAGGAGAACTGGGTGAAAGTGTTGTGGTCAGATGATACCAAAATCGAGCTCTTTGGAATCAACTCAACTCGCCGTGTTTGGAGGAGGAGGAATGCTGCCTATGACCCCAAGAACACCATCCCCACCGTCAAACATGGAGGTGGAAACATTATGCTTTGGGGGTGTTTTTCTGCTAAGGGGACAGGACAACTTCACCGCATCAAAGGGACGATGGACAAGGCCATGTACCGTCAAATCTTGGGTGAGAACCTCCTTCCCTCAGCCAGGGCATTGAAAATGGGTCGTGGATGGGTATTCCAGCATGACAATGACCCAAAACACACGGCCAAGGCAACAAAGGAGTGGCTCAAGAAGAAGCACATTAAGGTCCTGGAGTGGCCTAGCCAGTCTCCAGACCTTAATCCCATAGAAAATCTGTGGAGGGAGCTGAAGGTTCGAGTTGCCAAACGTCAGCCTTGAAACCTTAATGAAGATCTGCAAAGAGGAGTGGGACAAAATCCCTCCTGAGATGTGTGCAAACCTGGTGGCCAACTACAAGAAACGTCTGACCTCTGTGATTGCCAACAAGGGTTTTGCCACCAAGTACTAAGTCATGTTTTGCAGAGGGGTCAAGTACTTATTTCCCTCATTAAAAAGCAAACCAATTTATAACATTTTTGACATGCATTTTTCTGGATTTGTTTGTTGTTATTCTGTCTCTCACTGTTCAAATAAACCTACCATTAAAATTATAGACTGATCATTTCTTTGTCAGTGGGAAAACGTACAAAATCAGCAGGGGATCAAATACTTTTTTCCCTCACTGTAGGTGTATATAGGTGTGTATAGGTGTGTATATAGGTGTATATAGGTGTGTATATAGGTGTATATAGGTGTGTATAGGTGTGTATAGGTGTTAGGTGTATATAGGTGTGTATAGGTGTGTATATGGTGTTATAGGTGTGTATAGGTGTGTATATGGTGTGTATCTGGTGTGTATCGGTGTGTCATATGGTGTGTCCTGGTGTGTCTCGGTGTGTATTCGGTGTGTCTCGGTGTGTATCGGTGTGTCTCTCGGTGTGTCTCGGTGTGTCTCGGTGTGTTCTGGTGTGTCTCGGTGTGTCTCGGTGTTCTCTCGGTGTGTTGTGTCTGGTGTGTCTCGGTGTGTTCGGTGTGTCTCTGGTTGTGTCTCGGTGTTGTCTGGTGTGTCTCGGTGTGTATCTCGGTGTGTCCTCGGTGTTGTCTCGGTGTGTCTCAGGTGTTCTCTCGGTGTTCTCGGTGTGTCTCGGTGTGTCTCGGTGTGTCTCGGTGTGTCTCGGTGTGTCTCGGGTGTGTTTGGTGTGTACTCTCGGTGTGTATATGTGTGTATAGGTGTGTATAGGTGTGTATAGGTGTATATTGATGTGCGTGTTCTCCGGTATGTGTATGTCTGTGTCTCACCATGGTAGTACTCTCCATATAGATGTTGTTCTCCAGATGACAGTGGCCGTCGTGGGGTGTGACTATGCCAGCCAGTCTACTGTCCAACGCCAGGTGAGAAGGCTGGTCTGTCATCAACAACAACAGACGCTTGGCCTCCCCACGCCAACCCACCTCACCCTGACAGAGAGAAAGAGAGGAGGGGAGAGAGAGGGGGGAGAGAGAAAGAGAGAGGGTAGAGAGGAGGTGGAGGAGGGAGAAAGAGAGAGAAAGAAAGAAAGAAAGAAAGAAAGAAAGAAAGAAAGAAAGAAAGAAAGAAAGAAAGAAAGAAAGAAAGAAAGAAAGAAATACAGGAAGAAAGGGAAGGGAGATTCATTCGTATTATATTTTCATCTCATTGTCTATTCAATCATTTCCTGATCAGTCAGGATAAGTCAATTCATTTTAAGCTACTGGAAAGAAAGGGTCCATAAAAAGTGTAGCCTGCCATTCCACACAGATGGTGTCACCCACTGTATGAGCTACTGGGAAAGAAAGTGAGGAGAGGACGGAGTGAGTGTGTGTACCCCCTGTAAGCTCTGACTCAGGTCCCCTGAAGGGTCCTATTCCACATTGATGGTTTCATCCACTGTGTGTGTGTGTGTTTGTGTGTGTGTGTCATACCCCAGTGATGGTGCCAGTAGATGCCAGCAGCACTACTCATTGCTGACCCAGCATGCCAGCATTCTCCCTGATACATACACACTCACTCACTCACTCACACACACTCACACACACTTACACCCACACACACAATTGCCCACACATGCACAACTGCACGGACATGCACACGCACACACACACACACTCACACACACCCCTCTTCAGTGAGTGACATCATCGCGAAGGTATGGGATGCCTTCTCGAATGGGGGTCTGAGTCAAAGCATGCAGGGGGCACTAAACACACACACACACACACCCACACCGACACAGACACAGACTGTCACGCCCTGACCTTGAGAGCCCTGTTTTCTCTAGTTGGTTTGGTCAGGGTGTAAATTCTAGATTTTGTATTTCTATGTTGGCCGGGTGTGGTTCCCAATCAGAGGCAGCTGTCGATCATTGTCTCTGATTGGGGATCATACTTAGGCAGCCATTTTGCCTACCTTAGTGATGGGATCTTGTTTCTGTGTTGGCTTGTGTTTGTGTAGCCTGTTGAACTTCACGTTTGTTTGTATTTTGTTGTTTTGATCGGTATTCAGTTAATAAAGGAATATGTACGCATACCACGCTGCACCTTTGTCTGATCTGTCTATCAACGAGCGTGACACAGACACACACACACACATGCAGTACCTACCTGGCATACAGTAGCTTGCAGCATAGCATCTAACCCTCCCTCTGGTGTGTCCATGTTGCCTGATATCCTCTGTCTCTTGATGACGCGTGTAAACTCAGACATGTTTGCCGTCATACTAAGAACATGGTGGAAGCCATGGGCTGGTCGACACTTCACCTCAAAGTCACTGTGAGAGAATGGGGCGGGGGCGGAAGGGACGGGGAGAGAGGGAGAGTCACTTATCATTGAAAGAATGAAGATACCGGTAGTCCAGCAACTTGAAAGGGTTCTGTCAGTGAGTTGGTGTGTCTGAGTTGGTGTGTCTGTGTGTGTCCCCCACCCTACCTGCAGGGGTTATTTATCTTAGAGGGGTGTACGTTGATGTAGGGGGAGACAGGTTTGTCAACGAAGGAGCCGAACCCCAGACGCAGATCACTGGAATGTTCTCTCATACGGTGGGACAAGGCCACGCCCACCGTCTTCAGCTGCACCAATAGGGAAACATCAGGGAGATTTACATACTGTACACCCAACCAATCACGGTAAAGAGTAAACACTTACCTAGCCCAGGTAATAAAACAAATGTCTTCATAAATCAATCTATTTCAGCTGAAATCTTATCAAAGTTTATTTCGAGAATTAAAAGTGCTAAGAGTTGTATTGTAAAAACATTGTACTGTAGGTTCTATAGATTACGTAGATAGGTAACCAGTCACTCACCTGGTCCAGGTTTTCCTGCATGGATGCTGATACGTCCACCAGGTAGTACAGATCAACAGGATACCTCTCCAACTGCTGTACTGCTACTATCACACTGGCCTCAGCACCTACACACAGTTTCATGTTTATTCTACTATCACACTGGCCTCAGCACCTACACACAGTTTCATGTTTATTCTACTATCACACTGGCCTCAGCACCTACACACAGTTTCATGTTTATTCTACTATCACACTGGCCTCAGCACCTACACACAGTTTCATGTTTATTCTACTATCACACTGGCCTCAGCACCTACACACAGTTTCATGTTTATTCTACTATCACACTGGCCTCAGCACCTACACACAGTTTCATGTTTATTCTACTATCACACTGGCCTCAGCACCTACACACAGTTTCATGTTTATTCTACTATCACACTGGCCTCAGCACCTACACACAGTTTCATGTTTATTTGGAATAAAACAACCATTGGAAATATCACTCACCAGAGTTCTTGCAATAAAAGCAGCAGTAAAAATGGGAAATAAAGCTCAGGATAGGGCTGTTGCGGTGATCGTATTATCGCCACACCGGCAGTCATGAGTCATGACCGCAGTAAAATTCCACGTGACCGTTTAGTCATGGTAATCTCCTCTTATGCACTCTGAACATGCTTTGGTAGTACCCAACTCGCTAACGACCATCAGATCCTAATGGCCTGTTACTCAGGGCTCTATTGGCCCTCTAACCACTCTGACATCAATGCAAATGTAATTGGAAATCACATCTAACACTTATCATCAAAACAGCATGTGCTTTTAAAACTCACCTCACTGTGATGATCTATTTGAAGAAAGAAGTTCAACAGCAGGTTGAAACTGAGTGGAAAACATAGTCATTGTGGATGTTGTTTCAAAGCCGAACACAATGAAATGGACAGCGCTTTCTAAGGTGATGATTCATTAATTCAAAACACCCATATGCATATTAGAGCTTATGCATAGGCTTATGAGACCAAGACCAAAAAAAAACGGAATAAAAATTATGATTGTGCCTTTATACAATACATAGCATACTGCATATTACGCATGGCAGAAAAACATAAAACAGAACTGATTTAAGATGTCTTTGGTACATAATTGGTCTAGCCTATTCTCCAAAATTAAACAAATTTGAGTAATCACCTTTGAATGTGGACTGTATTATTATTCATACTGGATGGACTGGTTACCTTATGCTATGCTCCAAAATGTATATCCATGAGTCTGGGAGAGAACATATATAGCCCTAGGCCATGCTGTTGGTTCATTGATTGTGCAGGGCGGCTTACAGGCAGCCTACAATTATAGTGAATTTGTATTTGATTTTGAATAGCCTAGTAATAGGGATTTTTTTCTATTTTCATAATTAATTGGGTGGCACATTACCTTTAGCTATACATAATATCTCACCACCATGCGTTTCAATCTCCTCCTCTCTACTTTATTCCTTTCTCAACCGTGCAGAGGGGCTGTCAACAGTTTTGTGAAATATGATTTGTTGCAAAAACTTGTCACTATCGATGTTCCCGAACAGACTTCACTTGGTTTCCCAAATTAAGCACTGGGTAGCTGCAGGAACAGGGTTGGAAAGCCCATGGCATTTAGAGTTGGGGCGGAATTTCACCTGTTGCACAGCAAGAGCACGCTTCTCAAACAGTGGTTGATGCGTGGAGTGAAATAAGTGTTCTTATATTTATTTCTCAGCAGCTCATACTAAGCACAGCTCCGCTATAAAAACCGAAGTAGCATACCAGACATCATTGAAAAAAGGACCAGCGGGAAAGTGCACGGCCTACATTCGCTAATCGAGTGCATACAGAGTACGTATTTTTACCCTGCCCCTGTTCCTGCCCATTTCATAATGGGCCATTCTAAATCGAAACTAATTTTACATATTAGTAAAGACAGAATTAAATTGAGAATAGTCTGATGGGTGAAAATATGAATGATGAGAGAACAGCTGTGCAGCCTGAGGCAAGGAACAGAGCGCAAGCTTTTTTTGCAACTTTCTCAAATCATCAATAGGCTATAGTCGCACCATGCAGCCCATATATGTTTTGATTTCTAAGACATTCTAAGGTTTGTATCATTCACAACTAATGTTGCCAAATAACTCTAAATCTAGCATATAGGACCTGTTTCAAATGATCACAGTTACGCTCAACATAGCCACTTCATATGAACACTGTCTCTGGAATGGGAAAAATATCCTTTCTGTTTATTCAGTTCAATTATATTCTTCTCACTATAAAATCATATAATATAAAATAATGGCACGGGACTTATAAGTATATCTTATGGCATGGCGCATAGCCAGATAACATACAGTAGGCCAACTCATATTCTGTTCTTCTGAAATACATTTTCTTCATATCATAATGTTTCTTTAGAACTGACTAAAATAAATATTGGATTTATTGCGATTGTGATTTATTTAACTTTTTTAAATGTAGATGTTCCAAAGGCATAACAATAACCGGCTGACAAAATGTCATGACCGCCACAGCCCTAGCTCAGGACAATATACTGAACAAAAATATAAACGCAACTATCATGCTGAAACATGAGGTGATGGCAGCGGATGAATGGCACAACAATGGGCCTCCGGATCTCGTCATGGTATATCTGTGCATTCAAATTGCCATCGTTAAAATGTAATTGTGTTCGTTGTCCGTAGCTTATGCCTGCCCATACCATAACCTCACCGCCACCATGGTGCACTCTGTTCACAACGTTGACATCAGCAAACCGTTCACCCACACGACACCATACATGTGGTCTGCGGTTGTGAGGCCGGTTGGATGTACTGCCAAATTCTTTAAAACGACGTTGGAGGCGGCTTATGGTAGAGAAATTAACATTACATTATCTGGAAACAGCTCTGGTGGACATTCCTCCAGTCAGCTTGCCAATTGCACGCTCCCTCAAAACTTGAGACATCTGAATCATTGTGTTGTGTGACAAAACTGCACATTTTATAGTGGCCTTTTATTTTTCCCAGCACAAGGTGCACCTGTGTAATGATCATGCTGTTTAATCAGCTTCTTGAAATTCCACACCTGACAGGCGGATGGTCTTGGCAAAGGAGAAATGCTCACAAACAGGGATGTTAACAAATTTGTGCACCACATTTAAGAGAAATAAGCTTTTTGTGTGTATGGAACATTTCTGGGATCTTTCATTTCAGCTCATGAAACATGGGACCAACATCTGTTGCGTTTATATTTTTGTTCAGTGTATGTACAACATTCAGCAAATAACTGGTAAAGACGTACATCAAGACGTACAGTATAACAGGACTATGTGCAGTCAGCATTCAGTGAGTTATTCAGTGGCAGCTATACTCTGCCCCTCACCTGGTCTGAGTGTGATGGTGATCGCTCCAGGTGACACCTGAGTGCTGCTGGTCGTAGCGTTGACCTCCACCATGACCTCTGGATGCTCTATGAACTCTAGGTCACACCCCCTCCTTGCCAGGGTCCCAGCCAAGTCGCAGCGCTCTCCCATCTCTGCTCCATCCAGGAAACCCTGTTAGGGGTCAGAGGTCAGGGGTCAGGGGTTAGAGATCAGGGCCCATACCGTTCTCACTGGACGTTATATCAGGGGTCAATTCCTATTTCAATTCACTCCATTCAGGAGAGGTGTACTATATAGCAAGTGTAATTACACTGTAACTAACTCTGTAAGTGATGTAGGTTATTACCATTCATTTTCGATTTTCTTGAAATGGGATTTTAATCTCCTGAATTGCCTGAATAGAAATCGAGTCAGTTGACTGTATGTTTAGTTGTATAACTGGAAATAGAAGAGATTAAACTGAGGACGTAGGACTGTGTGCGTGTGAGTTGTAATTATTGTTTAGAAGCTGGGCAGTGCCTTGCAGTGACATAACACAACACAGACAATAATCCCAGTATAGAAACCCACTTCTGTGAGTTGGACTGTGTCAACTGTGTCATGGTTTAGGGCTTTAGAGTGGCTGGTCAAAGAGGATTACAGACCTCTGATACCCTGGTACTACTGACACAAGACAACAGACCTCTGATACCCTGGTACTACTGACACAAAACAACAGACCTCTGATACCCTGGTACTACTGACACAAGACAACAGACCTCTGATACCCTGGTACTACTGACACAAAACAACAGACCTCTGATACCCTGGTACTACTGACACAAAACAACAGACCTCTGATACCCTGGTACTACTGACACAAGACAACAGACCTCTGATACCCTGGTACTACTGACACAAGACAACAGACCTCTGATACCCTGGTACTACTGACACAAGACAACAGACCTCTGATACCCTGGTACTACTGACACAAAACAACAGACCTCTGATACCCTGGTACTACTGACACAAGACAACAGACCTCTGATACCCTGGTACTACTGACACAAAACAACAGACCTCTGATACCCTGGTACTACTGACACAAGACAACAGACCTCTGATACCCTGGTACTACTGACACAAGACAACAGACCTCTGATACCCTGGTACTACTGACACAAAACAACAGACCTCTGATACCCTGGTACTACTGACACAAAACAACAGACCTCTGATACCCTGGTACTACTGACACAAGACAACAGACCTCTGATACCCTGGTACTACTGACACAAAACAACAGACCTCTGATACCCTGGTACTACTGACACAAAACAACAGACCTCTGATACCCTGGTACTACTGACACAAGACAACAGACCTCTGATACCCTGGTACTACTGACACAAAACAAAACAACAGTAAATACTGCTATGAAGAGTTAGGCCTGAACATACACCAGAGCCAATATTCAATAAAAATATTCTATAAGAGGTGTCTGTAATCAAGCAGTAAAACATAGTCTAAGAGGCAGTCCGAACTATGAGTCATGTTCAATTGAGTATGGATTTAATCTGTGTCTGGGAAACCCGCCCTCCGTAGTGGTCGGCTCCGGCCCACTTCAAACTTTGGTACTGTTAAGTCCCTCTAAACCACAGTCATACAGGGACTTTCCTACCAACAGACCCAATAGACTGGTACTAACTGAAACTAACAGTGTGTGTTGGAGGGGTTTTCAGAATGAGCTACCCCACTCCAAGACAGGGTGTATGTGTGGGGGGGGGTGCTTTCCAATTCAAACACCAGTGAGCAAACACACTCAAGGTCTCAAGACTAGTGACCCAGGTAATGATAAGGTGTGTGTGTGTGTGTGTGTGTGTGTGTGTGTGTGTGTGTGTGTGTGTGTGTGTGTGTGTGTGTGTGTGTGTGTGTGTGTGTGTGTGTGTGTGTGTGTGTGTGTGTGTGTGTGTGTGTGTGTGTGTGTGTGTGTGTGTGTGTGTGTGTGTGTGTGTGTGTGTGTGTGTGTGTGTTGTCTTCAGGAGGTCGTGATGTGCTAGTTTACAGGTTCTCATGGTCACATATTGGGTCAGATTGGCACTTTACGAGAACCCAGGATTAAGGCAGAACCCACACACACACCAGGGAAGGGTTATCACCAGGGTGTGTGTATGAAAGTGTGTGTGTGTGCATTATCTATGACAGACTAAACACATAGATAGAGCCAGAGCCTGTAGAAGTGTTTAAATTACCAATCACAACTGGCCTTGTCACTAATCTATCTGGCGACATGTCAGAGAGAGCACCTACACAAACACACACCGCACACACACACCACACACACACTAACGTGCTGTTGAACACACACATTATACACCTCCCTAAACAACATCAAAGAGTGGCTGCTTCTCTACAGAGGAATGTGAATGCTGTACTCGTCACTCTCCATTCTTTCTCTCTGTGTCCCCCTTCTCGCTCTCTCTCTGTCCCCCTTCTCTCTCTCTCTCTCTCTCTCTCTCTCGCTCTCTCTCTCTGTTTCCCCTTCTCTCTCTCTTTCTGTGTCCCCTTTCTCTCCCTCTCTCTCTCTCTCCCCCTCTCTCTCTGTGTCCCCCTTCTCTCTCTCTCTCTCTCTCTGTGTCCCCCATTCTCTGTCTCTCTCTCTCTCTCTCTCTCTGTCCCCCTTCTCTCTCTCTCTTTCTCTCTCGCTGTCCCTCTTCTCTCTCTGTCTCTCGTCCCACATTCTAGTCTCTCTGACTCTCTGGTGTACCCCTCTCTGATCTCTTTCATCTCTCTGTGTCCCCTTCGTCTACTCGGCAACACTACTATCTCGCACATCTAGGCTCTTCCCATCTCTACTCACCAGATCGACCGTCTCTCGAGCTCCCATCTCGCTCTCTCCCATCTCCTCTTCCCTATCCTCTCTCTCTCCCATCGTCTCTCTCCCCTTCTCTCTCTCTCCATCTCTCTCTCTCTCCCCAACTTGCTCTCTCCCCATCTCACTCTCTCTTACCTCCTCAAAGCACCAGGCACACTGTGGTCCGCGTCGGAGGCACTCTGAACACGACGAGACAGGAGGAGACGAACACACACTCTCACCTGTGGAGAAGGATAGAGGAGAGGAGAGGAGAGGAGAGGAGAGGAGAGGAGAGGAGAGGAGAGGAGGAGGAGAGAGAGGAGAGGAGAGGAGAGGAGAGGAGAGGAGAGGAGAGGAGGAGAGGAGAGGAGAGGAGAGGAGAGGAGAGGAGAGGAGAGAGAATTAACACATGAAAGACTGACTGTGTAAACAGTCATTAACCATGCAGCAGTAAGGCTCTGTCAATTACCATGTTTAAATCAGGAATGTAGAGGCACAACATAGACTCACAATAGATCAGTGTGTGTGTGTGTGTGTGTGTGTGTGTGTGTGTGTGTGTGTGTGTGTGTGTGTGTGTGTGTGCGTGAACAGGTGCTTCAGTGTAGTTCATTCACACATTTATTCACAAGCTCAGTAATCACCATGCAGTCACATTAATCTGACTAGTCCTTCTACAGACGAATTATTCTACAGACAGTAGAGTATATTGTGTTTCTAAACAATGTCCCACATCCATAAGAACTATGGACCTAATTCCACTACTAAGCCAATCTATGGCTCAGATCCCATGTATTCCCTGTGAGACTGGTGTTGTTCAGTAATGTAGGCCATGTGAGGAATGCTGCAGGTCTCAGTTTACTAATTTGTGAAATACTTAATGATAAATTATTGAATTAACAAACAGCTCTGACCTAATTACTGTGCCAGTTACAGCTGGATAACACAACACTATAGGCTACATCAGTACCTGATCAGTCGAAGCTGATCACATCCCTGATAGATCAATAAAAATATAAATACCATGATAAACATAACCAATGCCTTTTGAATGCCTGAAGAGATGTATAATATAAAGCTGGGAATATAACAGTATGATAAATGTATTTGATAGATGCAGTGCGTTGATAAGCCTATGTGATTGTTACCGACTGAAACGTGCGAGTGTGACATTCCGTTGTGGACGGTGACAGATGACCAGCCGAGTGACCAGCCGAGACATTGACAAGCAAGGACTACTGGCGGGCCATTTATAGCTATCATCATTATCTGACAGTTCATTCATTCTTGAAGATTATTTCACTAATTCATCTGTCACACCCATTCACACAATGATGATGTTTCCATCTATTAGTGCATTCATTCCACAGTAGACTAACCTACCTATCCAGGTATATTCTGTCACTCACCGGAATGAGTGTTCCCGCCGATGATGTTAGCGGCCAATACCACGCAGAGCAGCACGCGATGCAGAGTCGGGTTACCGTATTTATGTAGCCAGGAAGTCATATCTACACCGGGGGCAGGCTGTAGGAAGCGGATCAGCTCGAGACACCGGCAGCAGGCAGGCAGCTCCGGTCACCGCCTACTACTGACACTCTGCAATAATGGGAATGAACTGGGAAATGCCGCACGTCCGCGTGAACAAGAGGCAGCGCCAGGAATGAACCGTGCGTCGGTGTGGCATTGTTGTTTGTTTTCTTTCCACAGAATAACCTTCTTATCCAATCAGCCGATTATTCCCAGAAATCTCCTTCACGTGGAATTCACTTGGCAAGCTCTTTAAAGCGCGAAGGATAAAATGAAAACGAGACATCTCTCTCTCTCTCTCTCTCTCGCTCTCCCTTGCATCTAGTCTAGCCCGCAGCAGGTGTAGTGCGGTTTAGTGCGTCCCCCGTTACATACTATGTCCCGGGAGAGACTTCACTGAGCTCATTCGAACAACACCAGTATCTCAGCGCGCTATCGTTCCTCTCCTTTGTTTCTGTCGTTTTCTTCTTTGCAATGTTTCAGAGTTGAGCGTCTTACGACCATATGCTGATTGAGCTGATTGTAAAGCCCAGCGTGAAAAATCTCTCTCGCTCTCTCTTGGTTTTATGCTGCGCACTGACTCAGGCACCGTCATGGCAACGATGCTTCCCACACATGTGAGAGAGAAAGGTTCTACAGTATTTTACTGTGTGAGTGTGTGTGTGTGTGTGTGTGTTTGTGTGTGTGTGTGAGAGAGAGAGACATTTCACATTTGAAATGTCTTCATTCTTTTGGAACGTCTGAGTGTAATGTTTACTGTTAATATTTATTGTTTATTTGACTTTTGTTTACTATCTACTTCACTTGCTTTGGCAATGTTAACATATGTTTCCCATGCCAATAAAGCCCTTAAATTGAATTGAATTGAGAGAGAGTGGGTGGGAGGCTTTGACACTACTGTTTGACTAAGTTCTTCAGACCCATTGTGTCTGAAGAGGTGTCTCACTAGTGTTAGTCTAATGTTGTTGTTGTCTGACACCAGGCGGGGGAGTAGTGTGTGTGTGTGTGTTTGTGTGTGTGTGCGTGTCTGAGAGAGAGCGTGCCAGTTGGGGTAATAAAAACAGAGAGTAGTTCGCGGTCCCGTGTTAAGGGGGTTAGTCTATTATAAAGAGGGATTCCTGCGACATGCAGTAACCTCCACTAGCCAGCTGGACTTCTAAACAGGAGCCAGATAGAGTGGGAGAGGGGAGAGAGAGGGAGGGGGAGGGGGAGGTAGAGAGGAGTAGAGGGAGGGGGGAGAGAGGGGGTTGTAGTTAACAAATGGGTTGTCCAAAAGAGAAGAGAGGAACACGGCTTCAATGTTTCTTTTAAAGAGGGAACAAAATCAGAGACACAATAGAACAGCCAGTACCTAAACAGAGACAGAGACAGAGAGAGAGAGAGAGAGAGAAAGAGATAGATATAGAGAGACAGAGGGAGATAGATAGAGAGAGACAGAGGGAGATAGATAGAGAGAGACAGAGAGAGGGCCCTCTGTAGCTCAGCTGGTAGAGCATGGCGCTTGTAACGCCAAGGTAGTGGGTTCGATCCCCGGGACCACCCATACACAAAAAAATGTATGCACGCATGACTGTAAGTCGCTTTGGATAAAAGCGTCTGCTAAATGGCATTTATTTATTTAGAGGGAGATAGAGAGAGAGAGACACAGAGAGTGATGGAGATATATAGATAGATAAATAGAGGGAGAGAGGATAGATAGATGGAGAGAGGGAGATAGAGATAGATAGATAGAGGGAGACAGAGAGAGATAGAGAGAGAGATTGAGGGAGAGAGATAGATAGAGAGCTATAGAGGGAGAGAGGGTGTGGGGCGCGGTGAGTGCCCCCAATAGGCTCCTTATATCCTATTTGTGACACTCAGGGCTGGAGTAGAATCAATTAGTAATTCTTCTATTCATTTAACTACAATATATCTTCTGCTTTTCACACACGCAGGCACGCACACACACACACCTGTACACATCTGCACACACATACACGCTCACACACATACACACAACACACTTCAATGAAAGCTCATTGGGTGTGCCAACTTTCCCTCACCCCATTACACTCTTTCTCAATTATGGTAATGAAGCATTACACACATCATACCAGTGTGCGCATGCGTGTGTGTGTGTGTGTGTGTGTGTGTGTGTGTAGTGGATGGGGCTATTTCTAGGACTAGGGATGTAGAGAGCTTGGAAGACAATGGGTGTTCTTATCCCCCTGTCAGCCCCTTAAGGGAACTCTGGGATGGGGGAGAGGGGGATGGGAGAGAGGGGGATGTTGGAGAGGTTTGGAGAGAATTTGGGGGCAGGGCAAGAGAGAGAGAGATGCACCCAATTCCAAATTGACCCCCAGCTGTTATGGTGAAAACTCCAACAAGTTCCAACTAGAGCAAGATGTCCCTACTAGCATAATACCTCAGTATTATATAGGGCAGACATATGACAGACTATTTCAAGTTTCTAAAAGTAGAATTGAGACGTTTCCTCCTCTGATCTAGTCCTCTTCCTCTTTTCTGTCTAAATATTAAACCTGCCTGTGTGGGTGTCTATGTGTCACAGATCAGTCTTCACTGTCAGTCGTCATGTGTTTAATAGATGACATTCAAGATTTCTAGTGGAAACGAAAAACTAAAAGGTGGTTTTTAGCAGTAGTGAGATGCCGTGTGGGACACTATCTGACACTTTAACCATGATTCTCAAAGGTCACCAGGCAGACGAGTCTGTTTCCAAAAGGTCATTTCCCAGAGCTGAACTGAGTTGATGCTAGTGGACAGGTAGCCTATCAGGTGCCAGTGAACAGTCACTTCCTGAATACAAACCAGGGAAACCCCGCGGTCCTCTAGGCTCTGACCAGTGAGCAGTGTTGTCGTGTTAGGGTTACACACACCCTACGCATTCACACATGCACGCACACACACACACACACACACACACACACACACACACACACACACACACACACACACACACACACACACACACACACACAGACACACACATACTGCTGCATCATTCCGGTCATCCCAAAGGGGTGATTAGTGGTCTGGTGTTCACAAACACACCATCAGCATATATATGGTTAACCACAAAGACTCTCTCTTTGTCTCTAAAATGATGTCACAGCTGTCACTGCATTATGACTATTCCAGGGGTGTATTCATTACGTCTTGTAACAGAAACTGTTTAACCAAAAGGAATCAAACAGAGCAAACGGAACAAAACAGGGAAGGACCTACCTGAATTTGTCCAATTGAAACTCTAGTTTTGTGTGTGTGTTTGCAACAGAGGCTCTGATTGTCCAAGGGAAATAACGCTTTGATACCGCACGGAGGGGAAGCACTGGTACGCCATCTTATGGTCATACACACACACACACTCCTTTGGTTGTGTTAAATGTGGTGAGTTACGAACAGAGACTACACCCAGACTATGCACATTCCAATGAAAAAACGATGCATATTTGGAAATACTGTGTGTGTATGTTTACTACCTCAGTCAAGTTAAAAGCTTGAACAGTAGCCAGCCACTTAATAAATCCTAACACAAACAGAAGGAACAGTTTTCTGGAAACAATATACTTACTTTCAATGACAGCTGTAATGGCATCAAGTCTATTGTCAATAAGCAATGGTATGTTCTATCATCAGACACCTCTTTAAATTCTGCTTTTCAGAATCCACCTTTATTTACCTATAAAACGATCAACAAATCTATCAAACATGTTGATCAAATCAGATGTGGTCAGAGAGAGAAAAGAGGAATGAATAAAAATATGTTTCCCCTGTAGATCATGTACCTCATGTAGCACCATAATGAAATGTGCTGCAACAAGATCTCACGGTCTGACCAATTTGACTTCAGATTCTGACGTTTGTCCACGTTTGTCCAAACATCAAATGTAGAAGTTGCTCCAGAGACCCTCGGAACCAGAGCTCGCGGCTTACGGCCATCCGCAGCCCCTGTCCAAAACGCCCTAGCATAACCCAAGCCTACTTGGTGGTAATAGCGCCCGTTGCCCCTAGTGGCCGGATTTGTAGGCATCTCCCGATGTCCTGGGTACCTGGGCGGACGTCAGATTTTGAAATGGATCTTGAGTGACCTGGCTGATGTACTAGCTTTGTATGCCCTCAGACTTCTAGGACCTATGAGATAAAGTAATGTATAACATTCACTACTAAAATACTTATTGATATGTTACAGTGTTCTTGTAATAATATATATATTGGAAAAAAATCATCCTGCGCCTTGAAAGTAGGACTTGGAGAACATAAATCTGTTATCAGACATCAAGATATTACCTTGCCAGTTGCGAGACACTTTATAGAATAAAACCAATCTATTAATGAATTGCGTTGCGTCAGGATCTAAAAAGTTTATCCACCATGCAGAGGTGATCACGACAACAAATTACTCCAAAGGGAAGCCATTTGGATCAATAATTAAGATCTGTATCACCACAAGGTTTAAAGGAAGAACTAGATTTGACCTCCTTCCTATAGGCCAAATTTAGACTCTCATACAAGAACACTGTACATATCATATTTTTCATATAATTATGAGTTATCCCCACATATTGATGAATGGCCTAGCCGGATGTCCTTCGTAGTAAGCTATCTCATAAATTGATATAATTGATCCAAGTGAGCGGACACCTAAGGCAATTGATTCATGAACGTTTCACACCTGATACCCCAAATTGGCCTACTGTAGGTGCCCGCTCCCATACCCTATAATTCTGTATTTCTTTAGCTGCGTTTAGACAGGCAGCCCAATTCGGATATTTTTTCCACTAATTGGTCTTTTGACTAATCACATCAGATCTTTTCACAGCTGATCTGATTGGTCAAAAGACCAATTATTGAGAGAAAAAATCATAATTGGGCTGCTTGTTTAAATGCAGCCATAGTGATTGTAACATGTATACAGGTAGACCAGAGAAGCCCATAGAGATGGATAGAGGACTCATCTTTGTATCTGTGCCATTATAGCATCTGGGACAGCATGGGCAGCACCATTGAGGCTATTTACATTTTAAAGTAGTACATTTTCTTCTTCTTCACAATTGGCTGTCCTGATGACCCAGTTGGACATGACTCCAACAGGGTCACCAGGAGGGATCAGCCAATGAAGTTGGAAGTCCCACCCAGTTGACTACGTTAAAATGGTGGAAGCCCTCAATGGCGCTGTCCATGCTAATACAGCCTTTTGGCCACTAAAGGCCTCTATCATTGGAGAAGCCACATCCCTGATTGGCAGATGAGTGACAACCCTGATTAGAAGCACCTGTGTTCCCTATTGACGTTTTAGTCATTTAGCAGACGCTCTTATCCAGAGCGACTTACAGTTAGTGAGTGCATACATTTTTCATACTGGCCCCCCGTGGGAAACGAACCCACAACCCAGGCATTGCAAGCGCCATGCTCTACCAACTGAGCTACAGGGGACCCTATAAATGCTGTTTTGAATTAAAAAGATTTGTAGCTACACATTGAAGAAGGCTGCAAAGCCAAAATGTCTGTGTGTGTACGCTATCCCTGATGCAGTTCAAATCATTACAAAAATGGAAAGAAATGAAGTAAGCTTTTTTACTCCATCTTACCTAACCTCAGTGGGCCACATCCATCCTCAGGTATTCAACAGCAGCAGCAAATCACATAATAGATATTACTAATCTGTTGCTGTCAAACCAAATCAAGTCAAATGTTATTTGTCACATGCTTCGTAAACAACAGGTGAAGACTAACAGTGAAATGCTTACTTACGGGTCCTTTCACAATAATGCAGAGTTAAAGATATATAGAAATGTAATATATAGAAATAGTGACACGAGGGATAAATATATAATGAATAACAATAAGGGGTAAAAAATAAAACGTCTATATACAGGGAGTAGCAGTAGAGTCCATGTGCAGGGGTCCAAGGTAATTGAGGTAGCTACGTATCACGACTCAGGACAAGACCCAGATGCAGACAGTTCGAAATAGCAAGTTTATTTACAAAAACAGGGGTACATGCAAATGACAGGTCAAGGGCAGGCAGAGGTCAGTAATCCAGAGCAGAATCTGAAAGGTACAGAAACGGCAGGCAGGCTCAGGGTCTGGGCAGGCAGAGGTTGGTAATCCAGAACAGTGTCACAACGTACAGAACGGCAAGCAGGCTCAGGGTCAGGACAGGCAGAATGGTCAAAACCGGGAAAAACTAGAACACAGGGGCTAGAGCAGGGTTCTTCAATTCCGGTCCTGGAGGGCCGAAACACTTCTGTTTTTTATTTCTACCTGGTAGTTAATTGAACTCACCTGGTGTCCCAGGTCTGAATTAGCCCCTGATTAGAAGGAGAGGATGAAAAACAGAGGTGTTTCGGCCCTCCAGGACCGGAATTGAAGAACCCTGGGCTAGAGCAAAACAGGAGTATGGGAAAACCGCTGGTAGGCTTGATGAGACAAGACGAACTGGCAACAGACAAACAGAGAACACAGGTATAAATACACAGGGGATAATGGGGAAGATGGGCGACACCTGGAGGGGGGGAAGCACAAAGACAGGTGAAACAGATCAGGGTGTGACAGCTATGTACATATAGGTAGGGTAAAGTGACTAGGCAACAGGATAGATAATAGCAGCAGCAGCAGCATGTGGTGAGTGTGAAAGTGTGCCGTTGGGGTGTCAGTGTGTGTACTTAGTCATTGTAAGAGAGAGTTAGTGCAGAAAAGGGTCAATGCAAGTAGTCCGGGTAGCCATTTGATTAGCTAGCTATTTAGCAGATCAACTCACCACACACACACAGATGTGGCTGTGAATTTACCTCCTTACTGCTCCTGGAAGTGATTATGTCACCAGGCCTAACACTGGGTGTGTGTGACTCCCTCTGTCTTCTAGATAATGTTACTCACACACAAACAGTTGCCATTCTGCAGTTCAGTGATAATTTCTCCCTTACTGTCTTTTCTTTCATGATGCATGAAGGCCACTGTTGGTGTGTGAGTAACATTCTCTAGAAGACAGAGGGAGTCACACACACCCAGTGCTCATCAGGATGGGGAAAGCCTGTTTCTGACCACACAGCGTGCTGGGATTCTTTTTACATTTGAGTCATTTAGCAGACGATCTTATCCAGAGAGACTTACAGGAGCAATTAGGGTTAAGTGCCTTGCTCAAGGGCACATCGACAGATTTTTCACCTAGTCGGCTCGGGGATTAGAACCAGCGACCTTTCGGTTACTGGCACAACGCTCTTAACCACTAAGCTACCTGCCGCCCACCAAGGCCATTGATAGGCTGAACGAGATGTGGTGATAAGTATTTGACATGACCTTGACCAATAAGACACTAGCAAAAGTGGGGGTCCTCTGAATGGGAGACTAAGCTGCCCGACTAGAACTAACCAGAAGGGATGGCTAGAATCAGCTGGCAGTTTTAGCAGTTAAGATTAAAATTAGGTTTAGGGTAAGGAGCTAGGGTTCGTTTTAGGATTAGGGTTAGTAGCTAGGATTAGGGTTAAGGTTAGGTTTTGGGGTTAGGGTAAGGATTAGGTTTAGGGTTAGGGTATAAAAACACAGAAACAACACGCACACGCACACAAAGCCCAAGGACTTATCCTTTCCACTTTCCTTTCCATAGAGAATCTAGACTGATACTGTGAAACCTTGAAGCTAACATAAACAGTTATTAGTTCTAAATTGTTTTCAGCTCTGTCTGGGCTAAACTCTAGACAAGGATGATAAATTATAAACTTGTCTACAATTAATTGGTTTAAGAACTGTTACCTTTTAATAGAAAAACTGAAGAAAAAACTAAACTGAAGAAAAAAAAAAATATATATATATATATATAAAACAAAAAGCGTTACCTTTTATATATTGTTAGCAAAAATAATTCACCATGATTCGGATAGAAATTCAGTATAACATTATAGAACAGACATGTTTTGGCCACATATTGAATAAATACAGCTCATGTTGTCTCATACACCATTATACTGGACACCCAGCATGAGCTGCAGAGTATGAGACAGCAGTACCCTCTTGTGGTCAGAGCTGGTATAGCAGACCAGCCTGCTAGTACTTCAGTTACTGGATATGATTAGAGTGATGAGAGGTATGAGAGAGACAACTCACAGGGTTTGAGGTTTTGTGGAATATGTACTATCTATGTCATATATCCTACATATGTTAAGTGGGCAGATCTTATTTCACTGAGTTGTGGAGAATGAGGAGAGAGATTCTCTCTTTCCCCTCCTGTACCTCAAACCTCTTCAGTGGGTATTTTCCCAGGTCTCAGGAGAGAAGGTGTGTGTGTGTGATTGTGTGTGTGTATAAGTGTGTGTGGTGTCTAATGTGATAAATAGTTAATAAGGCAGTTCTATACTTGGCGAGGATGGTGCCTGACACAGCAGATGTCACTCAGTCTTGTAACGACCCAGCTGGTCTCAGAGGATTAACAGAGTCTTGTAACGACCCAGCTGGTCTCAGAGGATTAACAGAGTCTTGTAACGACCCAGCTGGTCTCAGAGGATTAACAGAGTCTTGTAACGACCCAGCTGGTCTCAGAGGATTAACAGAGTCTTGTAACGACCCAGCTGGTCTCAGAGGATTAACAGAGTCTTGTAACGACCCAGAGGTCTCAGAGGATTAACAGAGTCTTGTAACGACCCAGCTGGTCTCCGAGGATTAACAGAGTCTTGTAATGACCCAGCTGGTCTCAGAGGATTAACAGAGTCTTGTAACGATCCAGAGGTCTCAGAGGATTAACAGAGTCTTGTAACGATCCAGAGGTCTCAGAGGATTAACCTTACACATGAAGACTTGTGTCCTAGCCTAAGCTAAGGCTTTAGATTACAAGGCTAACACGGTAAAGTGGCACACAGAAGACCCATGTTTGAATCTTGGTTCGTCAAAAGAGAGATCAGGGTCCAGAGTAACGCCGAGGTCCTTCACAGTTTTATTTGAGACTACTGTACAACCATCAATATTAATTGTCAGATCCAACAGCAGATCTCTGTTTCCTAAAACAGATCTCTGGACCTAAAACTAGCATCTCTTTTTTTGTCCGAGTTTAAAAGTAGAACATTTGCCGCCATCCACTTCCTTATGTCTGAAACACAGGCTTTCAGGGTAGGCAATTTTGGGGCTTCACCATTTTTCATTGAAATGTTCAGCTGTGTGTCGTCCTCTGTTACGGATACAGGTGTCTTTTTGTGTTTTTCCTCTCCTTCTGCCCTAATCACAGGTGTCCTGTATGTTCCTGATTGGTGGTCGTTGGGGTGTCTGCTGATTGCTGAGGTGGACCAATCAGTGGACATTCCTCTGCATTGCACCACCTGTTTCTGGTTTTTCAATCACACATCCCATTGTTTAAAAGCCGGTCAGTTGTGTTTGTTGTTAGAGACTATTTTCCGTATGTGAGTATGGATACTGTGTACTCACTCACTCACTGAAATCACACGCTTCTCCAAGTGCTGAAGATATTATTTTGAAATAATCAATAAAAACATAGATAATTAGAGAACTAACCAATATTCTGATCAATGTGATTTCAGCCTGGAACATGTTATCACCATTATAAAGAAAAATAAGTTTAATCGATTTAAACAGTAGTTAGCTGCATAATTTGCTAGTCTGTGCAGCAATATTGACTTTTTAAACATTTCAACTTTATACACTAGCGGTCAAAAGTTTTAGAACACCTACTCATTCAAGGGTTTTTCTTTATTTTTACTATTTTCTACATTGTAGAATAATAGTGAAGACATCAAAACTATGAAATAACACATATGGAATCATGTAGTAACCAAAAAAGTGTTTACAATTCTTCAAATAGCCACCCTTTGCCTTGATGACAGCTTTGCACACTCTTGGCATTCTCTCAACCAGCTTCACCTGGAATGCTTTTCCAACAGTCTTGAAGGAGTTCCCACATATGCTGAGCACTTGTTGGCTGCTTTTCCTTCACTCTGCGGTCCAACTCATCCCAAACCATCTCAATTGGGTTGAGGTCGGGAGGCCAGGTCATCTGATGCAGAACTCCATCACTCTCCTTCTTGGTCAAATAGCCCTTACACAGCCTAGAGGTGTGTTGGGTCATTGTCCTGTTGAAAAACAAAAGATAGTCCCACTAAGCGCAAACCAGATGGGATGGCATATCGCTGCAGAATGGTGTGGTAGTCATGCTGGTTAAGTGTGCCTTGAATTCTAAATAAATCACAGACAGTGTCACCAGCAAAGCACCACCAGACCATAACACCTCCTCCTCCATGCTTTACGGTGGGAAATACACATGCAGAGATCATCCGTTCACCCACACCCCGTCTCACAAAGATACGGCGGTTGGAACCAAAAATCTCAAATTTGGACTCCAGACCAAAGGACAATATTCCATCGGTCTAATGTCAATTGCTCGTGTTTCTTGGCCCAAGCAAGTCTATTCTTCTTATTGGTGTCCTTTAGTAGTGGTTTCTTTGCATCAATTCGACCATGAAGGCCTGATTCACACAGTCTCCTCTGAAAAGTTGATGTTGAGATGTGTCTGTTACTTGAACTCTGTGAAGCATTTATTTGGGCTGCAATTTCTGAGGCTGCTAACTCTAATGAACTTATCCTCTGCAGCAGAGGTAACTCTGGGTCTTCCATTCCTGTGGTGGTCCTCATGAGAGCCAGTGTCATCATAGCGCTTGATGGTTTTTACGACTGCACTTGAAGAATCTTTCAAAGTTCTTGAAATGTTCCGTATTGACTGACCATCATGTCTTAAAGTAATGATGGACTGTCATTTCTCTTTGCTTATTTGAGCTGTTTTTGCCATAACATGAACTTGGTTTTTTACCAAATAGGGCTATCTTCTGTATACCCCCCGTACCTTATCACAACACAATTGATGGCCTCAAACACATTAAGAAGGAAAGAAATTCCACAAATTAACTTTTAAGAAGGCACACCTGTTAATTGAAATGCATTCCAGGTGACTACCTCATGAAGCTGGTTGAGAGAATGCCAAGAGTGTGCAAAGCTGTCATCAAGGCAAAGGGTGGCTACTTTGAAGAATCTCAAATATAAAATATATTTTGATTTGTTTAATACTTTTTTGGTTATGTCACGCCCTGATCTAGAGAACTCTTGTTGGTTGGGTCAGGGTGTGAGTTTCTGTTGAGATCTATGTTATTGTATTTCTATGTTGTAGATTTAGGTTGATATTTCTATGTTTGGCCGGGTGTGATTCCCAATCAGAGGCAGCTGTCGCTCGTTGTCTCTGATTGGGGATCATACTTAGGTAGCCTGGTTGCCTACCTTAGTTGTGGGTTCTTGTTTGTGTTCCTGTTAGGCTTGTTGTGTGTATAGCCCATAGGACTTCACGTTTTCGTTGTTTTGTTATTTTGTCAAGTGTTTACTCGTCTTAATAAATATGTACGCATATCACGCTGCACCTTGGTCTGACCCGTCTCTCAACGATCGTGACAGAAGATCCCACCATAAAAGGACCAAGCAGCGTGCCCAGAAGGAGCAAACGCCTGGGACTCAACAGGAGGTAACCTTAGTAGATGTCCTCCTCGGTTGGGGGAGAATTACTGAGGAGGAGGCCATCCGTTATCAGGAGGCAATGAAGGAGAGTGTATCCGAGAAAGGACCCTGGGCGAAGGAAGAAGGCTGGGTAGGAGAGGAGAAACGACGAATTAAAGGGACTCGGTCACGAAGAAAGCCCGAGAAGCAGCCCCAATAAATGTGGGGGGGCACACTGGGTGGACGACGTGGCAGCAGTAGGCCGTGAAGGGGCTGACTGTAGAAGAGGAGGCCGCTATTTTAGAGGTACTCCAAGACCTGCGGATCTGCAATTTAAGAGAGGAGGCCACCACATTACGGGGGCTGATAGGGAGAATATAGCAGGAGAGCTCCCTTAAAGAGGAGGCGCTGCAGGAGGCCCGCAGGGAGAAGGAAATAGTGGAGGCACGGAGAGAGGAGCTGGTCAGGCAACAAAAGGAGCGTGTGTTCATTGAAGAACCTAGGTATGCGGAGATACGCACTGTGTCGCCAGTGCTCATTCACAGCCCAGTGTGTCCTGTGCCAGCACCCCGCACGGGCTGTGCGAAAGTGGGCATCCAGCCAGGACGGGTTGTGCCAGCTCTACGCTCCAGACCTCCATTGCGCCTCCACAGTCCAGTACGGCCCGTACCTGCTCCCCGCACCAAACCAGTGGTGCGTGTCGCCAGCCCGGTACGCCCCGTACCTGCTCCCCGCACCAAACCAGTGGTGCGTGTATCCAGTCCAGTACGGCCCGTACCTGCTCCCCGCACCAAACCAGTGGTGTGTGTCTCCAGTCCGGCACGACCCGTGTCTGCTCCTCGCACCAGACCAGTGGTGCGTGTTCCCAGTCCAGCTCCGGTCAGCAGTTCCACTCCGGAGCCTGAGCAGTCCACTCCACCGGTGCCCAGTCCAGCTCCGGTCAGCGGCTCCACTCCAGACCCAGAAGTAAGCCCCTCTCCAGGGTCGGGGCCTCCCACACCAGGGTCCAGACAGGGCTTGGTGCATCGCGGGAGGATTGCCAATCCAGGCCCAGACATCAGCCCCTCTCCAGGTTCGGGGTCTCCCACTCCAGGGTCCAGACAGGGCTTGGTGCATCGTGGGAGGAAGGAGAGGGGAAGCATCGCGCTGAGGTCCAGACCAGACCAGGGGTGCAACGGGGAGGCAGAGAACGAGAGGTCGTCACGCCCGGAGCTGGAGCCGCCTCCGAGGCTGAATGCCCACCCGGACCCTCCCCTAATGAGGCAGGTTGGTGCGGCCGGAGTACGCACCTTTGGGGGGGGGGGGGGTACTGTCATGCCCTGATCTAGAGAACTCTTGTTGGTTGGGTCAGGGTGTGAGTTTCTGTTGAGATCTATGTTATTATATTTCTATGTTGTAGATCTAGGTTGATATTTCTATGTTTGGCCGGGTGTGATTCCCAATCAGAGGCAGCTGTCGCTCGTTGTCTCTGATTGGGGATCATACTTAGATAGCCTGGTTGCCTACCTTAGTTGTGGGTTCTTGTTTGTGTTCCTGTTAGGCTTGTTGTGTGTATAGCCCATAGGACTTCACGTTTTCGTTATTTTGTCAAGTGTTTACTCGTCTTAATAAATATGTACGCATATCACGCTGCACCTTGGTCTGACCCGTCTCTCAACGATCGTGACAGGTTATTACATGATTCCATATGTGTTATTTCATAGTTTGGATGTCTTCACTATTATTCTACAATGTAGAAAATAGTAATAACATAACATTCTAAAACTTTTGGAATGATGCACATACAGTGTGAAGACACATTTCTTCTTAGTGGGACTCAAATAGAGAAAGGAGATAGAGGGATAGAGAGAGAAGCTACGGCTGTGCCAGAGTGGTGGGGAATGTCCTTTAACTAAGAGCAGTGTTTGGGACAGACATTGCGCCATCCTGTCCCAGGATCAGAGAGGGACAGACCCTGTCAGGTCTCCAGTGACAAGGTTACTGTGTGTGTGTGTGTGTGTGTGTCTGTCAGCGAGGGAGAGTGAAGGGCTCACCTCTTCCGTCCATCAAGTGTGTGCGTGTGTCTGTGTGTGTCAAATCACGTTACATCACCACCCTCTGTTGACAAGTCACAAGATGATGTCAGATCACAGTCTGATTAGACTGACAGACTGTTGCATGCATGCACGCAGACACACTCTTACACACACAGACATACACACACACTCGCAAAATCGGAGGTCAGTTGACCTCAACACTGGTACTGAAGAGAAAAGAGAAGTTCTAGAATCTATGTGTTCTATTCAGGAACCCTTGGTGATGTCCCTGATTAGGATGGTCAGAATGTTCAACAGATACTTCTGACCTATGCTGCCACTTCCTGTAGTTACCTGTCAGCGCTGACAGGGAGAATGCAGGGTATCGCAGAGGGGATTGATTATTGAACTAGTTGTCTCTCTTACAGCTCACACTGTAAGACCTCCTCATCAATCTCTCTCTCTCTCCCTCTTTCTCTTTCTCTCCCTCTTTCTCTCTGTCTTCCTCTACTCCTCTTTCTCTCTCCATCTACTTTTCTTTCTCCCACCCTTAGTCTCTCTCCACCTCTCCCTCTTCGTCTCCCCTTCTCCCCCTTTGTCTCTTTCTCTCTCTCCCTAACTCTGTCCCTCTCTCTCTCGCTCTCTCTCGCTCTCTCTCCACCTCCCCCTCTCTCACTCCCTCCCTCTCGCTCTCTTGCTCCTTCTCGCTCTCACCCCCTCCCTCTCTCTTTCTTTCTCTCTCTCTCACACTCTCTCTGTTTTTCTCCTTTCAGGTTCAATTATTCTCTAAGTCATCAGTGTGAGGTGAAATACAACTCCTCTCCTGTACTCCAGCAACCCTCACAGGACAAAGAGAGGGGTGTGTGTGTGTGTGTGTGTGTGTGTGTGTGTGTGTGTGTGTGTGTGTGTGTGTGTGTGTGTGTGTGTGTGTGTGTGTGTGTGTAGAGTAATGGTGTGTGTAACATGGTCCTCTCACCTCATTGGGTAGATGACCTGCCGTCCACTCTGCTGCAATGCACACTGGGATGGCAGGCTGTTGTGTCCCTCAGCGAGCAATGTGCTTCTGTCCCATTGGACAGGGAATCAGGCAGTGTGAGTGTGTGTGTGTGTGTGTGTTGTGGTGTTTGCTTATGTATTTCAAATATGAGTCATTCATAAAAATGAATTATAATCATCATCAAAGTAATCATCATCAAAGTAATCATCATCATTACCATCATCATCCATAATTACCTTTCTGTAACTCAAAAAATAAATAAACCTACCTAAGATCTGGAGAGTTGTTAGCTTCCGAAACCAAACCAATGCCTACAGGCTCATGGTTTAAACCTATAGGAAGTTTGTATTTTGTATGTGTGCATGCGCATGTGTGTATGTGCGTACGTGTGTGTGAGTGTGTGTGTGTGTGTGCCCACAGGGCAGAGACAGCTCTCCTGAGGGGAGAGGCTATGGCTCAGGGGAGTCTTGTCTGTTTCTAGGGTGTTGCTAGCGAAGAACTAAGTCAGTTTACCTCTCTAGGAATGATAGTCAGATGTTGTGTTCAAATGGACGCAGTCTGGGACTGACACAACGTCTCGCAGCAACTAAGAAATAAGTATTTTTTTATTTGTAATGTTTTTTTAGGTACTTTTTTAGCCCTTTTTCTCCCCAATTGGTAGTTACAGTCTTGTCCCATCACTGCAACTCCCCTACGGACTCGGGAGAGGCAAAGGTCGAGAGCCATGCATCCTACAAAACACGACACTGCCAAGCCGCGCTGCTTCTTGACACACTGCTCGGTTAACCCGGAAGTCAGCTGCACCAATGTGTCGGAGGAAACACCGTACAACTGGCGACCGAAGTCAGCGTGCATGCGCCCGGCCCACCAAAAGGAGTCGCTGGAGCACAATGGGACAAGCACATCCCGGCCGGCCAAACCCTCCCCTAACCCGGACGACGCTGGGCCAATTGTGCGCCGCCTCACGGGTCTCCCGGTCGCGGCCGGCTGTGACACAGCCTGCGATCGAACCCGGTTCTGTAGTGACGCCTCTAGCACTGTGATGCAGTGCCTTAGACCGCTGCGCCACTCGGGAGGCTAGACATACGTTTTATTGACGTTTTTTCTGCTTGTTTCATTGGAGAACTAGATTTCATAAATAATCCTACATCTCACAACGATCCAACAACATCTCATGACGATCCTACATCTCACAACAATCCTACAACATCTTAACAACGGGGACAACAGGATTCCCAAACTGCTGATGGTGACCCCTGACCTCGTATCCCAGAGTTCACTAAGAGAAAACAACAAATAACAATGACTTCAACAGAACAGAGGGCACCGTGGGGAATGAACCACTCTGTCCTGTGAGACACACACACACACATACATACACACACAAATGCATACACACACACACACACATACACACTGTTCTTTTAGGGTGATTCTCATAGGAGTTAATACGTCCAGTAGAGCAGAGCTGGGAGACAACACTGATGGCAGCGGGAACACACACACAAACACACACACACGGATCTCTGCAGGTCTGATACTGCGACTAATTCAAGCGAACACATATTTGAGTCTCTCTCTCTCTTTCTTGCATCTCTCACTCTCTCTCTCTCTCTCTCTCTCTCTCTCTCTCTCTCTCTTCCTTCCCCCTCTGTCTCTCTCTTCCTTCTCTCTCTCGCTCTCTCTCTTTCTTTGTCTGTCTCTCTCGGTCTCTCTCTCTTCCTTCCCACTCTCTTTCTCTGGCTTGTGAGGAAACAGAGGTGGACATTTGCTTTCCTGCTGATGTGCAATGTGAGGGATCGCCCCTCCGTTCACCTCATATAACACACACACACACTCCTCCTCATTATGTAACAGTGAGTGACAAGTGGCTAAGAATGGTGTGGCCCCACTTCTGTTCCCGTTTACTGTGATCGGAACAAGGGTTCCTATCCGACAATCACACACACACACGCACACAAACACACACACAAACACACGCATGCACACACGCACACACACAAGCAGCCGCACACACACACACACACACACTCACACACACACACACAGTACTATTCCAGTCCCTGCATTCTGAGTGATCGGAACAAGGGTTCCTATCCGACAATCACACACACACACGCACACAAACACACACACAAACACACGCATGCACACAAGCACACACAGAAGCAGCCGCACACACACACACACACACACACACACACACACACACACAGTACTATTCCAGTCCCTGCATTCTGAGTCACATCAGCATTTTTATTTTTAACTCACAGCAGTTTAAAGAAAACCTGAACAAGACTCACACAGGGTGGGAATGGGAGTGTGTGGCTTGAGTGTGAGCGTGCATGTGTGTGTGTGTCAGCAGATCTGAGATTGATTAGTAGATCACAAGCGGCCCAAGAGCCCTGTTCAATAAAAGCTGAATGCTGAAGCTCAGGTTGAGGGAGAAAAAACATTATTCTCATTCAGCCATTGAGGGAGTCTGTTTGAGCGTTATGTTTCCTTTTCAGACTTTGCTTTATTCTTTTCAAACCCTGCACCTGGGAAATTGTTGGTTGTGCGTCCAGTACTTTAGAACACGGTTAGAGTTAACCAGATCTCCTGGCCTTCCAGGTTTGATCATGACTGATGCCTATAGGCCTACTGATATAGCACTGACTGTACTGTTCTGAAACAGACCGAGACTGACAGGGCTGGTGATATGAGCGGCCAGGTCACCCGTGATACAAGTCAGTATTCGACGTCCATCCATGTCTGAGGACGTCGGGAGATGACGTGGAAACCGGACACTATGTTAAACAGTGGGCGCTGTTACCTTCAAGTAGGTTTCGGTTTTGGTAGGGTGTTGTGGATGGGGATGCCTCTGATTCCAAAGGTTGAAGTTTGAATCCAGTGATGGAAAGTTGTTTTTGAGATTTTTGTTTTAAGCCTATCCCAAACCTCAACCCTTACCTTAACCATTCTGAGTTAATGCCTAACCTTAACCATTCTGAGTTAATGCCTAACCTTAAACCTTAAAAATTCGGAGTTAAAGTCTAAACTTAATCTTATACACCTCGAAATTTGACGTTTGCAACAACTTCGAAATTTGACGTTAGAGAAACATGGATGAATGTCTAATTCTGATGTGAGACTGTGAGAGCTAGTTCTGAGACAGAGATAGATGCAAGGACAGACAGACCTAGTGATATGACACAGGTCTCTGTCTCTCGCCCTCTCTCTCTCTCTTTCTCTCTCTCTCTCTCTCCCTCTCTCGCTCTGTCTCTCTCTCTCTCTCTCGCTCTGTCTCTCTCTCTGTCTGTCTCGCTCTCTCTGTCTCTCTCTCCTTCCTTGCTCTCTCTCACTCTCTCTCTGTCTCTCTCTCTCTCTCGCTGTCTCTCTCTCTCTCTCGCTCTGTCTCACTCTCTCTCTCTCTCGCTCTGTCTCGCTCTCTCTGTCTCTCTCTCTGTCTGTCTCGCTCTCTCTGTCGCTCTCTCTGTCTCTCTCTCCCTTGCTCTCTCACTCTCTCTCTCGCTCTGTCTCTCTCTCGCTCTGTCTCTCTCTCGCTCTGTCTCACTCTCTCTCGGTCTCGCTCTCACTCTCTCTCTCGGTCTCGCTCTCACTCTCTCTCTCCCTTGCTCTCACTCTCTCTCTCCCTTGCTCTGTCTCACTCGCTCTGTCTCGCTCTCTCTCTCTTTCTCTCTCTTTCTCTCTCTCGCTCTGTCTCACTCGCTCTGTCTCGCTCTGTCTCGCTCTCTCTGTCTCTCTCTCCCTTGCTCTCGGTCTCACTCTCGCTCTCTCTGTCTCGCGCTCTCTCTCGCACTCTCTCTGTCTCTCTGTCTCTTTCTCTCTCTTTCTCGCGCTGTCTCACTCACTCTCTCGCTCTGTCTCTCTCTCTCTCTCTCAAACCAACGGAAGTAAAGGTGTCATTGTTCTTTATTGATCAGTGATTTTCTAAAGTTAGATAGTCAATGTCCTTTCCTGTCCCTTCCTGTCCTCTATTCCACATTCCTCTGACCTGCTTTGACCTGAAACTGGCCTGGTGATGAGAGAATTCTGCTTGACCGGGCCAGGTCAGAGAGGGCCACAGTCAGCCTGAAGCAGGAGATGAAACAGATGTCTGGACAGACGGTGATGAGTCAGAGAGGGAGACACTGAGGGACACGCAACAGTGGCTGTGTGTGTGTGTGTGTGTACGTGCATGCATGCTTCACCCTTTAAGGTCTTTGCTCAGCAATAACAACATGCAACTAGCCCTTTCAAATAAAGTATTGTTATTATTAACAATATAGGAGTAATAATCATGAAACGTGCATTAAGCAGCTACTAAAAATAAAGCTCTGTGGATTCAGTAGAGGACTGCTGGTTCAGCTGGTTTCTATGGCTGCGTCATAGAAAAGGTAGTGCACTACATAGGGAATGTGGTGCCATTTGGGACGCAGCCTAGATGTGCCTCTGGGGTATTTTGTTTGCTTTAGGTATAAAGCTTTTAAACGCTCCAACATACTCTAAATGCCAACTCACACTGTCACACAGTTACAGCTTCCCTGGATGCTGAGTCAAAACAGCCAAGCTTCTAGGTAAATAATAAACTATTAACAACCTAAATTACTCATAAACACTGTACAAACCTGTACATTGTCTTTGAAAGCACCTAGTAAGTGTCTCACTGGAGAATGGAGAATTCTAGAGGGGTTCTAGTGCAGTAATGGTCTTCTTGAATGTGTGTCGAAGATCTTGAGAGTTCTACAGCTCGAATTTACGATGCAGTTCCAGAGATGCCACCAAGCTGACACACACACACAGAGAGAGAGAGGGAGCGAGAGAGGGGGAGAGAGAGAGGGGGGAGCAAGAGAGGGGAGAAAGAGAGGGGGAGCGAGAGAGTGAGAAAGAGTGAGAGAGAGGGAGCGAACAAAAAGAGAGAAAGAGAATTGAAAAGGGAAGGGGGGAGCCCAGAGGGGAGCGAGAAAGAGCGAGAAAGAGCGGGGAAAGAGAGAAGAAAGGGGGGCAGAGGAAAAGGAGAGGGGGGGAAAGGGGGAAATGAGAGAGGAGGTGAGGGGGGGAAAAAAAAAAGGAAAAAAAGGGGAGAAAGGGGAGGGGAAATGAGAGAAAATTTGGGGGGAAATTAAGAAAGGGGAATGAGAAGAGAGGAGGGGGGACGAAGGGGACGAGAAAAAGATAAAGAGAAGGGGGGCGAGAGGGAGAAATAAAAAGAAAAAAGGAGAATAGAGAGAGAAGGAAAAAGAGGAAGGGGGGATAGAGGGGGGCCCCCCTTTTTAAAAACCCCCCAAATTTTTTTTTTTTCCCCTTTTTTTCCTTTGGTTTTACCCCAAACCAAGGGTTGGGGAAAAACCTTTTTATTGGGGCCCCCAGATTTTTAAAGGTTTTGGTTTTGTTGTTGGTTTTGAGGAGGAAGGGTTTTTTTTCCTTAGCGGGGGGGAGAGACTCTGGGGCCCCAAAAAAGAAGCACAAGGGGGGAGAGAGAGGAACAGAGAAAAGGGCGAGAGAGAGTGGGGAGAGAAAGAGTGGGGGAGCGGGGAGAGAAGAGAGAGAAAAAAAGAAGGGTTTATCCCCAAAAGAAAAAGAGAAGGGAGGAGCAAGTAAAAGCGTTTAATAGAGTTAGAAGGAGAGAAGGAAAAGATAAAAGAGGGGGGGTTATAGAGAAAATGATCGAAAGAGAGAGGGGGGGATAGAATTCTTAAAAAAAAGGGGGGGGTTGGTTTTAAAATAAATTCTAATTTAAAATTTTGTGGATTCCCCATCCATTCCTTCTCATTTCTGCTATATATTAATTTATAACAGTAGGCTATAACAGTAAAAAGCAGTTTAGTTTAATAATCTATGTTTCTTAGATTGCTTCATCCCTTTCATTACTGCACACAGGTGAGAGAGGCTCATATGAACTGACCGTTATGTAACAGTGGACCAGAGTCAGCAGAAGAAGCTAGACAGATAGATATAAAACTGTTCTATATCTATGTTGGTGTCAACATGAACACAATGCATTAGCCAAGACAAACAGAAAAAAGTGGATTGATTTAGAAACATAAAGAAGTTCAACCATGAACCAGTGTGTGTGTGTCTTTGTGTGTGTGTCTTTGATAGAGAGATCATCTCACTGTTATTGTATTTACCGGGGTTGTGCTAATGACACCAGCTTGTGTCTGTGAATCTGCCCGGGGGTCACGCGGGGACCGGAGAGTCTCTAGAGTGTAATTTAAACTGAAAGACCGGAGGAGGAGGTGTCACACTGTCCGGGGGAGTCTCTCTCGCTCTCTGTGTGAGTGTGTGTGTTTGAGAGAGAGAGGAGAGAGAGAGGAGAGAAAGAGAGGGCACGTGGGTCGGGTCGCCGAGGGGTGTTGAGTGTGTCTGCGCAAGCGTTTAAGCACCTTGGACAGCAACCGCGCGCCAGTCTCGTTAGCGACCGACCAGCGGGAAGTTCAGAGTAGAATGCTCTCCTCGCATTATTGACCGGGGGAGCTCCCGTTCTCAGCGACAGCAACTGGACGACTCACTTTTGGATTTGATCTATTCTTTATTCATGCAGGTTAGTCTCATTGATAAAAAATAGCTAGACTAAATAAGAAACATATAACATCTACTCTACATGACAGAGATGTCCGTGGAAGGCAGCCTACTCTCTCACGGATTTACCTGATCTCCTGCCCAGAACTTTCCTCATCAGGGATATGGACATCAAGCCGCCCTACAAGGGCTGACTCCCTCTCCTGCTCTCTCCGACTGCGTCGGATCCTCCAGGGTCGGGTTGCTAGTTGGCACAAGTACCGGAAGGTACCTGAACTTATCCAGTTCATCTTTATTTAACCAGGACAGTCCACTTATCAACAACCGTGACTGTTTTCCGGGAAGTAGCCTAAGAAACGCTTATTTTCGTTTTTCCGTTTCAAAACGTTTTGCTGCCTACCCGTGTACCCTCCTTACTAAAGCCGAACTAGGAGGGCAGACAGGCGGACTGGTCTCCAGGAGGATGCCTGGGAAGGATGTGTTCCAGCCGGAAGATTCTGTGGAGCCTGCTGCTGCTGTCAGTTTTGGAGGTGGGGCTGGGGGTCGCCAGTATCGTCCTGGGAGCCGTGGGGCTCAGCTGGGTCAGGGAGGAACACAAACCACAACAAGGAGACGCTTCACCTATCTGGAGCGGCCTGTGTGTATGTAGAGCTTTTAGTTTACCATATCTCTCTCTCTCTCTCTCTCTCTCTCTCTCTCTCTCTCTCTCTCTCTCTCTCTCTCAATTCAATTCAAATGGCTTTATTGGCATGGGAAACATATGTTTACATTGCCAAAGCAAGTGAAATAGATAATGTGTTGAATGCATGCTTTTGGTTTGTTGATTTAAGTAGCTGTAATTTTATGCACACCCTCATACAGTGAGAACGCGCCCCCGCGCGCGCCTACAGATGACTGCCTCATTGTCTCAATTTCACTTCTCCCGGTGAAACGTTCCATGGAGGTCTGTCCCGTTAATATTTGCCAGATGAGCTACGGAAGAGCTATAGTTTCTCATCATTTTACTAAAGAAAGGTTATTAAATTATTTGATAGTTTCCATGCTGTCATAATTTCACAATTTTGTCCCTTTTGAACTTGGACATCTGAAGTTGTTTTCTCTCTCTGATCCAATTCTAACTTCTGATCTAGTTCTGATCCAGTTCTGAACCGGTTCAGATTCGGTTCTGATCATGTCCTGAACCAGTTTTGATCTGGTTCCTCTCTCTCTCTCTCTCTCTCTCTCTCTCTCTCTCTCTCTCTCTCTCTCTCTCTCTCTCTCTCAGTTTCTCATCTGTGGGATGTGTGGAGTCCTGTGTGCTAGGAAGAGGACTGGACTCATCGTAAGTACACATGCACACAAACACACACACACACAAACACACACTTAAAACCAAAACGCACACACACACGTATGCACGCACACGCACACACTGCAGTGCTAAAAGCCACCGCACCATACACCAGAGTACACAGACACAGGACTGCAGGTCAGTGAGTTAGGTAGTGTAGCACTGTTGTCCTCTGTATGATGGTGTGAGCACGTGCAGAAATATATCCAGGACAGAAGGTAGGAGTTACTCAGGTCCTTCAGAGAGAAGAGGACTAGAGGGAGACAGGGCAAGTCCCCTCTTTTTTTTTCTCACACCCCACCCCTCTCTCTTCTCTCTCTCTACTCTCTTCTCTATCTCTCTCTCTCTCTCTCGCTCTGTCATGAGCACTCTCTCTCCCTGGTAGCAACATTAATTGCATTCATTCATTGCCACTCTCTCACTTCTCCGCTCACTCTGCTGCTCCTACCCG